GGAAAGAGATATCTCAAGATAATAGCTGTGCAGCAAGGCCTGGAAAACAACCAACCTCCCAATGGGAGGGCCAGAGAGGGCTCTCAGAAGAAGGGAAAATGTGGATAAGGGCTAAGGAAAGGTTAAAAATAATGGTCAAATTAATCTCTCCCTCCCCCAAGAATGACATGGAGCTGTTAGAGAAAGGAAAAATAGAAACCTACAAGAAATTCGTGGAAATCAAATTTAAACTATATCATCAATTTAGGCATTTGATGAAATGTTTATTGTTTCTTTTTTACGTCTCCCTGGATTGTCCTGGCCGTCACTGTTAAAGCCCAAATGAAAGGAAAGTTAACATACTTCCTAGCCTGCGCTTGACTGATGTATTATCATGAAAATGTGGGTGCTGTTGTGTAGACTTTCAGCTTTTAGAACCAGGCTGTGGAGAGAGCATGAAGGATTGGGTTGTGGTTGTAGGAGAGAATGTTAATGATCTGAATATTAATAAAAATGTAAAAACACAGCTAGTAGGAGGTGGAGGGAGGTTTGAGAAAAAGAATATATGGGCACTATTAGTTTTTATATGTATATGTATGTATATACAGTGAGGAGTTAGAATTTTATCCAGAACTTCTAGAAAAGACAAGAGGTTTATGTAAAAGTAGTATAAGTTTCAAATAGTGGGGAGGAACTTGATGGAAGCAAGGGGCATAATATAAGTAAGCCCCTCGTCTTAATTTTTATTTTATTTATTTATTTATTTAAATTTTATTTCTATTTGTCCAAATAGTTTTCTTTTACTCCAATTTATTTTTTTAGTATATTTTATTGATTATGCCATTACAGTTATTCTATTCCCCCCTTCATTCCCCTCCACCCTGCACCCCCCTCCCCCATCATTCCCCCCCTTTAGTTCATGAACACGTGTCTCAAGTTCTTTAGATTCTATATTTCCCCTACTATTCTTGCCCTCCCCCCTATCTATTTTCTACCTACCGTCTATGCTACTTATTTTCTATACCTTCTCCCCCCTTTTCCTCCTCCCACTCTCCTGTTGCTAACCCTCCATGTGATCTTCATTTCTATGGCTCACTCCTGATCTAGCTGTCCTCTTAGTTTGCTTTTGTTTTAGGTGTGGTTGTTAATAACTGTGAGTTTGCTGTCCTTTCACTGTTCATCTTTTTTATCTTCTTTTTCTTAGGTAAGCCCCTTTAACATTTCATAGAATAAGGGCTTGGTGATGATGAACTCCTTGAATTTGATCTTATCTGAGAAGCACTTTATCTGTCCTTTCATTCTAAATGAAAGCTTTGCTGGATAGAGCAGTCTTGGATGTAGGTCTTTGGTTTTCATGACTTGGAAGACTTTTTTCCAGTCCCTTTTTGCCTGTAAAGTCTCTTTTGAGAAATCCGCTGACAGTCTGATGGGAAGTCCTTTGTAGGTGACTGTCCCCTTATCTCTTGCTGCTTCTAGGATTCTCTTCTTCATTTTAATCTTGGCTAATGTAATGATGATGTGCCTTGGTGTGTTCCTCCTTGGGTCCAACTTCTTTGGTACTCTCTGAGCTCCCTGGATTTCCTGGAAGTCTATTTCCTTTACCAGATCGGGGAAGTTCTCTTTTATTATTTGTTCAAAGAAGTGTTCCACTTGTTGCTCTTTCTCTTCCCTTTCTGGTACCCCTATAATTTGGATGTTGGAGCGTTTAAAGATGTCCTGGAGGTTCCTAAGCCTCTCCTCATTTTTTTGAATTCTTGTTTCTTCATATTTTTCTGTTTGGTCATTTTTTCCTTCCTTCTGGTCCGCTCCCTTGATTTGAGTCCCAGTTTCCTTTCCATTACTATTGGTTTCCTGTGCATTTCCCTTCATGTCAATTAATTTAGCCTTCATATGTTCCTCTAATTTGTGGCTATAATCAACCAGTTCTGTGAGCATCCTGATCACCAGTGTTTTGAACTGTGCATCTGAAAGTTTGGCTATTTCTTTGTCGCTTAGAGTTATGGGCTCTGGGGCTCTGAGTTGTTCTTGAGCCATGTTTTGGTCTGTTCATGCCTGTTACGTATGAGGAGTGGAGCCTTAGTTGTTCACCAGGGCGGGGCCACCCAGGTTGCTGGTTTGTGATGCCGTATGTGGGGGCGGGGTCAGAGTGGGGAAATGGCAGCCCCTCTGCTGCTTCCTGCCTCTGGGGCCTGTGCGGTCTCACTGCTTGCTCCTTTGCTGGTTTATCTGCACAGGAATGTGTGACCGCAGTCAGCCTGCCACTTTGCGCTCTCACTGGGTCTGCCCGTGGCAGTCCCAGGTCTGGGATCCACCAATTGTCGCCCCCTTGGGTCGGGGGTGGGGGGATCTTTCCTGCCCAAACCTGCTCCACTGCTGGCTCCCTCGCTCTTACTGGTCTGGCTGAATGGTTCGTTGTTGTCGGACTTCCGATAGTTCAATTTTCTGTGTTTTGGCTGCGCTTTTTGTTACTAAAACTTTTTTGTCTTTAAACTTGGTTGTGGGAGAAGGCACAGTGTTTCCACCTACGCCTCCAACTTGGCAGAAGTCTCCAAATTTATTTATTTTTTTAAAGAACATGAATTGTGGGTTTTTTTTTAGTTTTGTTTATTTTAGAGAGATGAAAGGGAGGGAGAAAGAAAGGGAGTGAAACATCAATGTATGGTTGCCTCTAGCACACCCCCTACTGGGGACCTGGCCTGCAACCCAAGCATGTGCCCTGACTGGGAATCAAACCAGCGATACTTTGGTTCACAGGCCCACGCTCAGTTCACTGAGCTACACCAGCCACGGCTCATCTTAATTTTTAAATTGGTAAACATTGTCTTAAAGTTTAACAAAGTAAGAAATAAATTTATTCCATGTTTCTTACTTTTGTGTATAGTTTAATAATACAAAAAGTATATGTATATACTTTATAAACCAATAAGTATACAAGTATTGTGTGTATGCTGACTTTTATTACTGGTAAAGACGTGCTACCAAAAGTTCAGAGACCACCTCTCTAATCAGTTTAGTTAATTTACCACCCAGGAGATACTGACCCATTACAAAGATGAGGGGAATAATTTCATTTGGGTCGGTAATCACCAAGAGCCTCTGACAGTCTCAGTGTGGGGTAATACTAAGAGCTTTGTTTTAGAATTCATTAGGGGTCAGAAGACCTGGAATTGAGACCCAAGTCAGGCAGTTACTTGCTTGTGATCTTTACTTTCCTTACACTTCAGACTATATTGGGAGAGTTTGCAGAGAATTCTGAAATGTTTTTGCTTGCTCTGGGATGTATTCTACTGTGTTATCACAAACCCTCTATGCAGTTGATATGTAGTCAAAGATTTGTCTTGAAGCCTAAAGATAGACAGTGAAAAAGCACCTGATCTAGGCTTGACACATGGTAGGTGCTTTTAATAAGTATCTACGGGCTTTTAATCTAAATCTTACTTAATCAGTTGCACATATACATTCTGTTCTGAAAGGTTTTAAAGAGGAATTTGATAATTTGCTTCCTGCCTTTCCTAGTTATGAACAGTTATCACTCTCAAGCCCTTACACATTGGTCTCATTTGGAGAGAAGTACCCAGGAAGGGTGGTGTATCTTAGATTCAGCTGATGCTTGGATTCTCCTCTGATACCTACTGCATAGTATTATTGTGAGAATGAAAAGAGATAATGCATTTGAAATGACAAAATAAAGGACTAATCCTTATTAGGGGATTGTTTTATTATTGTTGCTAAAGTTTTGAGAGTCTAAAATGATTAAGCTGTCCTGAATAGTAGGACAGTCTACAAACTACAGCCTCTGTCCTGCAGAGTCAAACGGTGCACCTGTATTCCTTTTTTGTCCTCTGACAGCAGCTTTTTTCCTTTTTACTGCTAATTTTCAAAAGGTACCACATTAGGGTACCCTGCTATATCTTTCTGAGAAATTTTTGTAATCCCCTATATCGCCAGCATTATGTGAGTGTCTCAGGAAGTGCTAATTGATCTCAAATATTTACGTGGACTATGACAATAGTAAAAATAATTGTTTATGTTTGTATAACACATTTAGATTCTACTAGTAGTACTTACACACTAGAAAAATAATATAGGCAAAAAGAAAAGAGTCTTTGACAGACTTGTAATTTCTGGTTTTGTTTGGTCTTGTTTTATTTTAGTTTTTGGCTGTAACACAGAGTATGTGTCTTAATTAAATAAAGTGTACTTAATCTGACTGATGGTCTCAGGGTGATTAAGTGATTGAAATTCTATGTGTATTTACGTATTTTATTAACCTTCTTTTCTGACACCTTCCCTCAAATATACAGAAAGGTCCACTGCTTTAAAAATCCTTCTCTTAATTCTGAGACCTTCTATTTTTCCATCATGCTGAATAGTCACTTTTTTCTGTGTCTAATCATCCAAATGTTAAATATTTTTTAATTTAACATTTAGTATTATTTTGTGTTACAGTTACTCCTTTTTGCCCACTCAGATCTCAGATAGTCCTAGAAACATCATAATTTAGAAATTTCAGACAGAATAAACTTTAGCACACTACTTCAAATGGCCTTGCTGAGTATAGAAGTCTCTACTTTCACCCTGGAATATTTTTCAACTCCTCTTCCCAATACAGGGTTTTTTGTACATAGCATTAGTCTACGTAATGCAACCACATGTCAGAACACAGCGTGTTACTCTCATTTGTTTTCAGACTTCTTTACACCCTCTGCCTTCACCCCATGAAAACGATTTGTTGTAATTATCTCCCATAGGAAGAATGAAGACTTGGAAATACTCAGTGCTAATATTATATAGAGGTTAAATTGGCCTATGAGGTAGGCTGGTATTATTCTGTCTCTGGCATTGAACTTGAAAGTATATTTGCTTGGCATGTGTTTTCTGTCTACTTAATAGATCAATTGAAGATGGTTTGTGTGTATTAATTTGAGGGTTTCTAATATATACTAAAGTTATATTACTTGATTTATAGCTAGAGGAAGTAGCTCTGACTCTGTTTTTTCCCTTTTTATTTGTATCAACAGGAGGAAGGCAGTATCAAAGAAATTGCGATCACACATCATGTAAAGGAAGGACATGAAAAGGCAGATCCTTCCCAATTTGAACTTTTAAAAGTATTAGGGCAGGGATCATTTGGAAAGGTAAGTCCATGAGTATGTGCTTTCTAAAAAGTTGTTTTTGGAGTTCATGTATATTTTATACAGGGGAGAGACAAATATTTTATGAAATACTACCCACCTGATCTCCCTACAAGCAATATTTTCTCTGTTTCTGCATTTCTTATTATCAGTAAGTGTGCGGAAGTTAATAAAGTCATTCAAAAATACATTGAACATTTTCATAAATTGGCAATATTCACTTCATATTCATTTGATCTTCAAGATCATATAGCCTCTCTAACTGCACTTCTTGAGTGATTAAAAATCACAAAATATGCCCTGAATACACTGTCCTCTTTGAGTCTTTGTGTAGAATTGAAAGGTGATCTTGCAGTGCATTTATCACTCTTTCCTCCACAGCGTCTCAAACACCAGCAAGAAGTGAATGGGTACTCACTCCCAGGAAACTAGTATCGGGGGTTACCACTACAAGTATGAAATTTGGGGAGTTACAGTTTATCTTTAAAATGAATGCAAAGGTTGCATTCTATCCAACCATGTTTGTTTTTAATATGGAAAATATTTCCCAAAGCCACCAACTAAAAATTTTCTTTGAGTATTCCTTATCCCCCTGCAGCACACCTCAGAGGTACTTCCTGTACTACATTTTGAGAAGTATAGTAGTATGATCACTACTAACTAGTCCCTTTCTTAGCAAGAGGAAAATTCTGAGATCGCATTCAGCTTTCAACTTGCAGGGCTTCCTTACCACCTCTCTGTGAGCAAACATTTGAAGATATGCTTTGCAAGCTTTAAAACAACACCAGTTTAAGCTCTCTTTTGTGTTTTTATGGGACTAGTTGGCAACTCTTGGCTAACAGATAATTTGTTATAGCCATTAACCTTTCTCTAACACAAAATGATGCTTTTAAAATAAATATAGAGGCAGAACATAATGGTTGCAAATTGGACTTCGGTTCAGCTAGATTTGGATTCATTTTTTTCCTTCTACTTAATTGGTATGTGTTCTTGAGCAAGTTAACCTCTTGGAGCCCCCTTATTTTCCTTCTAGTTAGTCAGCAAGTCCTTCTGGTTTAGTAAATATTCCTGTACTCATGCCTGCCCTTTCCTTCTCCACTGCCACTCCTCCAGTCTATGCACTATCATCCTTCCTTGCTTCTTGAAGGTGCCTCCTAACTTGGGCTTCCCAAATTTGTCCTTGCCTAAAGCCATTACTTACTTGACAGCCAACATGAGCTAGTCTGATATTCTACCTCCTTAACCTTTTAGTAACCCCCCTTTGCTTTTAGGATAAAGATAAATTCTGAAGCTGGCTGAGGAGTCCCTAGGTCAAGTCCCTGGCTACCTCAACATGACTTTATACACTTTTCACTAGCTGTGTTCTGGCCTCATTGGCCTTCTTTTTCAGTCCTTAAGCACCATACTCCACCCCACTAGAAAGCCTTTGCATATGCTGTTCACTTTGCCTGAAACACTCCACCACCCCCAAGCCTTTCTCATCTAGTTATTAGCTTCTCTCCTGCTTATGACCTCAAAGAAGTCTTCCCCGCCATCCTGACTGATTCATATCCCTCTGTTTTATCCTCTCAACATTGTAAACCTCATCTTCACAGCACTGATCACAATTACAGTTTCTCACTTGTATAATTATTTGTTTATTGGCTGTCTCCCCCACTAGACTATATGTTCAGTGAGTGCAGGGGCCATGCCTTGTACCACGTGGCAGCATTGAACTGGTAGTACAGTGCCTAGCATGTGATCCGAGAAAGGAATTAATGAATAAATAATAGTTCTTGACGTCATAGGGTAGTAGTGATAATTAAATAAGGCCAAGTACATAACATCTGCTATGAAATTGTATTATCATGCAGTGTTTATGGATAAACCCAAATAGAGGGGTTTATTTCTATATATTAGATTTTCAGGGAGCATAATATTTAAGTTCCCCAGAGTTAACATGCTTCTCCCTGTATTTCTTTAAATACCTTACTATAAATAACAAACATTTAAAACAGGGCGTCTCCTTTCTTACTCATCGTAAAAAGCCAGTCCAAGCCAAGGAAAAAAAGGATGACCTGTCAGAGCCTAGAATAGCTTCATGGGGGAGTTCGAAAGGTCAGAAATGCTCTGGTGGGGGAAGATCCGATGACATCTGGGACTGCTGCTGTTTTTGCTATGCTTGACTGGTGAACAGCCAAAGGGACTGGATTAAGAGCACCCTGAGCAGGGGCACAAAACTGGGTGGCTCGCTCGGTTCTTGTCCCAATACCTCCACTGTAACACTAGGCAAAGTGTTTAACCTCTCTAATCCCTGCTTGGGCAGCTATAAAACAGGCATTGCTTAGTAGGCCTACCTCCCAAAACTATCATGATAATGTATTACAAATACTTGGGAAGGTCTTTTACAAACTAAGAAGGGCTGGAAAGTGTTAAGAATGTGATTTCAGAGAAAGATGAAAAAAGTTCGAAATCCACAAAGAGAATTTTTCTTGTACAGTGGCATAAAGAAGCTTGATTAGAGAAGCTTAAGAGTGAATAAATACCAGGTATATCCTAATTACCTCTACCTAATTAGAATTTATTTCTCTTAAAAAATATTACCATATTTTGTTGTGTATAATGCATACTTTTTTGCCCAAGTTTTTTAGGGAAAAATAAGGGTGCACATTATTACATGGGTATAATAATGGGCATGATAATCCCATGTAGAGTGCACACAAAACATGTGCAGTATACACAGGAGTGTGTTATGCATAGCAAAATATGGTAATAATTTCTGATATCCATTAACATTTGAACATCATTCCATTCTTAGGAATTACCCTGATTAAGAATGGTTTTCTTGTCTCTGTCTAGATAGCTCAGTTGTTTAGAGCATGGTCCCAGTATGCCAAGGTTGTGGGTTCAATCTCCAGTCAAGACACATACAAGAAGCAAACAATGAATGCCTAAATAAGTGGAACAACAAAGTAATCTCTCTCTCTCTCTCTCTCCCCCCTCCCTCCCTCTCCCTCTCCCCCCATCCCTCTGTCTCCCTCTCCCCACTTTCCTCTATCTCTCTAAAAATCAACCAATAAAAAAGCTTTTTTAAAGAATGCTTTTCTCTCCCTAGGTTGGCTCACTGCTAACTGGCTGGAAGGAACTAAAGGGTGGTGCATGGTGAAGGGGGCAAGCAAGAGTGGTTTGGGGAGAGGAACACACCCTGCATCAGGGTTTCTGTACAAGTTCTGGTACTCTTCAACTGAATTGAAGTCATTGCCTATTACCTTTGGCATAATTTCTCAAAGTGAGGTACTCTGCCCTAGAATCAGTTGAATGAATCTTTTTTTTTTTCCATTTTTGTGCTAATAGTCTGGCATGCTAGTGCAGATAATTGAGATCTGGCCCTAAATTAATTCTTGATTGTAATTTTCTCTTCCCATCTGTGACAGCTCAATAGCACTGTTAGAAAATAATGGGTAGGAGAAAGAGTTCAAATTCAGGTCCATTTGCAGGTCTCTAAAGGTTTGATGGAAAAGACCATGAAACTAATGGTCAAAGGAGTAGAAGAGATTTATTAATAGTTTTGTATTATCCATATTATAGCATAACCATGACCTATTTAGAGCAGGCTTGATTCATTTTATATGAATCCCACATTGTATGTTGAAAGGAACTAAAAATATTTGGAAAATGAAGATGCTCAATACCACACCTAGGAATTGTGTTCTTCATATCTAAGTGTGTGTGATCGTTTGATTTTTGAAAGGTAAGTTTTTACTAAGTTACAATTGTTCTGCCCAGCAGTGAGAAATTTGTGTTGTTTTCATATATAGAAAAGACCATTCATCAGTGAATAATTATATGAACAGAAAATTGTGGTCAAGGGGACCTCCTATATTAACAATTTTTATGGAATCAGAAGAATTTTTGTTTTGTTAAAAAAGCAGAGCAATGACCACCTGTGTTAATTCTTTAACCACATTAGACTTTTCTCTAATTGTTATGTAGCCTAAAGCTTTTTGTTTCTATTTTATATGTTACATGCTCTTTGGGATTTGGCAAACAACAAAGAGACATATCAGAATATTTATAGTAATAAATGATACAGCAGGGATCTTATTTTAACAGTAGTGTCCTTTGTGAAAGTTTGTAAAACTTATTTTCTCTTATTTAAACACAGGTTTTCTTAGTCAAAAAAATCTCAGGCTCTGATGCTAGACAGCTTTATGCCATGAAAGTACTGAAGAAGGCCACGCTGAAAGGTAAGTGCCGCGACTGTTTGTGATGTTAACGTAATATAAATAAAAAGATTTCAACAGACATCATGTGACTCCTAGGCCACTTATATTCTGAATCTGTTCCTATTACCATCTTATATTTATACTTTCTGTTAGTGAATTTTTCCTATTGGGCTAAGAATCATACGACTGGTGAGATGGGAGTTGCCATGTTATGAAATAAGTATTATATTATAAATTCATCTTGGGTTTAGGTGAAAGAAGTTCAGAAGACTGAAATTGGGTTTGATGCATCTTCAAATGAATATAATCATTGTGAGGCTCTGAAAACTTACTGTTTTACTGGATGCAAAATAGATTTTTATTCTAAGGAATCTATCATTTTGGCTTTTGGTTTCCAAATAAGCTTTATTCCAAGCCTTTGATTTTGAAAAAATGTAATGTAGGATTTAGTAAAATTCATCATAGATCATGTACACTTGAAGAGCATTTGGGTTATTTTTCATTATATTTTTTCTATTGTTCGATTATAGTTGTCCTCATTTTTCCCCCATTACTCTCCCCTGCCCTACCAATCCCCGAGCTCCCATTGTCTCTGTCCCTGGATCCTCCATATGTGTTCCTTAGCTTGCTTCTTCCCTTTCTTTACCCTGTGATCTCCCTACCCTCTCCCATCTGGCCACTGTCAGTTTGTTCTTTATTTCCATGTCTCTGGTCCTATTTTGCTTGCTTGTTTGTTTTGATGATTAGGGTCCATTTACAGGTGAGATCATATGGTATTTGTCTTTCACTGCTTGGCTTATTTCACTTAGCATAATGCTTTACAGTTCTATCCATGCTGTCCTGAAGGGTAGGAATTCCTTTTTTTCTCTCTGTGGATTTGGCTGTTATAGGCAAACAATCATTTAGAAGAAATTTTATTTGTTTGTTTGTTTTGTTGTAGTTGTTCAAGTACAGTTGCCTCCATTTTCTCCCCACCGTGTCCCCCTGCCCCACCCATTCCCACCTCCAACCCTCGAATCTACCCCCGTTGTTTATGTCCATGTGTCCTTTATACATATTCCTTGATGGCCCTTCTCCTATGATCCCCTAATCCCCTCTATTCCTCCTCCTCTCTGGTTGCTGTCAGTTTGTTCTTTATTTCAATGTCTTTGGTTGTATTTTGCTTGCTTGTTTGTTTTGTTGATTAGGTTCCACTCAAAAGTGAGAGCATATGGTATTTGTCTTTCACCGCCTGGCTTACTTCACTTAGTATAATGCTCTCCAGTTCCATTCATGCTGTTGTGAAGGATAGGAGTTCTTTCTGTGGATTTGGCTCTTAAAGGCAAAGAATGATTTAGAAGAATTGCACATAGATTTTTAAATATTTAAATTTTTTATTTAATTATTCAAATATTTTACCACAAAAATATCTAGTTTTATGTATTGATTCCTAATATCATTTTTCTTCTTTAACTGTAATTTCTAAAGCTTTAAAAATATTCTAGAAGGAAAATTGATGATCTTTTATTAATTCTGATGTTATTCTTTCCAATGAGTCACCCACCTTGGCCATTACAGTCATTCCAAGAAATTTCACCTTCCTCTGTTAACATTGTTCTTTGCTTTCTTTCTCTTGCTCCCTTCCCAAATATATTTTGTTTCTTTCTTATCCATTCTCTACCCCCTGTCTTACTACTTAAACTAATTCTTGCTAGGACCAGGGAATTAAATTATGTCCACAGTGCCCTATTTCGTATCATTACTTTATAACTTATGTTATAAGATATATAACTCCTGAATCCCATGTTATAAAACTGCATAGATGGAACTTATATAAGACTTCATTCACAAAATCAGTAAAAGTAATTTATTTTCATGTATCTAACATGCTTTGTGTTATACATAATCTGTGTAATGGAAACTATGAAACTCTGAGACACTAAAAGACACCAGGAAAAGAAATAAGTGCCCACTTCCTTTTGTAGAAGGCGAGCTGTTGTTGAAGAGTCTCCATATTCTTCTAGCCATCCAGTTAGTTCCATATCTTCAAGATTCCAGTTGCATCTGTCCTTGAAATATTCAAAATTTCATTTGAAAAACATACACCTCAAAGAGTATTCTAGAAAAGAAGAATGACAAAAGAATAAGCTCTATCAGATTTCAAGCTTACTTAAAACAATAATAACTTAAAACAATAATAATTCAGTGTGTTGTTGGGGCAAATAATACAAAAATACAAATCAGTGGAACAAAATAGTAGAAAAGTATTTATATTAAATTATAACATATTTGTTACAAAATATTGAGTACTTCCTGTGCTGTATAACAAAGCAGGTATATAGAACAATGGGAAATTAAATAATTATTTCATAAATTTTGTCTGAAATATTCCTGAGCAACCTGGAAAAATTCGAGTCTTCTCTTAAACCCTATAATGTAATAAACAACAATCTAAGTGAATTTTGCAAGTTAACACACCAGAAAATGTGTGAGAAGATATTGAGCAAATTACAAGGTGACAATGCAAAAAAAATTTTAGTCTTTCATACAATGAAAAATAGTATAAATAGGAAATCAAGAAATTATTTGCCTCAAATGTTATAAAATATTAATATAAGGGATTGATGAAAGGGTTTTTAACTAGCCGAATCTAGGACAATTTGAATATTTCAATAAATAATGGTAGTGACAGATGATGACCCCACTTATTTATGTCAGAATAAAATAAGAATCCATGCATTAATACATAAATTAATTAACGGGGAGCAAGGGGGAGTGCTTGCTCATGTAGAATTCCAACTGATAATTGTAAAAGATGTGATTGAGTTAGTAATTCCTAAGAAATAATATTACAACATCACCATAGGATTTCAAAATATTTTTTTGCAGTAGAATAAAAGAAATAATCTTTGAAAACATGTCCCATTTTGCTGAGGAAGAAATGTATATGAAATAATGAGTTATCATTTCATGCTGGAAATGATACATTGGAAAGCACTTTTACTATAAGTACAAAGAGCCATTATTGCACTTGAAAATTCTCATTGTAACATTATTTACAATATTGAGAATTTAGACATCAACATAAATATTGACAATTAGAGGAATATTTAAAAAATTATAAGATACCATTTAATAGGATATTATTTAAATGAAACATTTAAAATATTGCAAAAATGAACTTAATTGAAAATACGTAAGTTAACAATTATGACAGATTTGTCTATGATAAGTATGTGAAATTATATAGATATAAACTGTAGAACAGACAATAGAAAAGTGAAAATATCTGACTTACTGGAATTGTAGGCTGCTGGATAATTCTTGATATGTTCTTAAATTTGATTTTTGTTTTTATCAAAATAGTATGTGCATAGAGTCTTATAAAATAGCAGTGCTTTTCCTGCCCTCCTCCCTATCCCAGTTCTTGACTCCCAGACACAATGACTTTTCACCTCGTTAGCTGCTGCTCCTATAATTTACCTCTACATTCAATACTCTTATATCGCAATTTTTTGTTTTCATTTGGAGACATAATCTATTGATGTCCTAACATGGAAGATGAGGATTTAGTTCTCTTACACTACCACTGGCACACCGTTTCCCTCTTCATGTTTTGTTTTCATTATTACAGCTTTATAAAAATTGTTTCAGGGCTAAATGATATATTAGTCACATTTCCTTTACATCTTTTCTGTATTAGATCTTTTCTAAATTCTGTATCTACCTCTTTCTCAGTTTACTTTCTAGTTTTGGTGGAAGCCATATTCTAGTAGCTACCTCAATAGAAAGGGTGAATAGATGGTAAATTTTTTGTGATTTTGCATGTCTGAGATGCCTTTATTCTGCCCCCTCACTTAATTTATAATTTGGCTGGGTGTAAAATTCTAGGTCAGAAGTAATTTTCCCTTAGATATTTTAAGGCATTGTTTCCATTGTCTTTCAGTTTCCTGTGTTGCAATTGTGAAGTTTATTGCCATTCTGATTCCCAGTCCATTGTGTATAAGCTGCTTTTCCTCTTTGGAAATCTTTAGAAACAATCTACACTCTATCCTTGGTGTTCCTGAAATTTGTAGAGTTGTATTTCTTATTGTGGCTTTTAAAAATTCTTTATACTAGATATGGGGTGCTTCTTTCTATTTAAAAACTCATTTCTTCAGTTTTGGGGAAGTATTCCAACTCTTCTAGTGACTTTTCTTTCCATCATATTTTTAAATGTCCTAGATTTTTCCTTGTTGTCTCATTATTCGATTTTTAAAAACATTTTATTGTGGTATCAAACATTTACAGAAAGAAAGAGAAGATAGTATCTGTGAAAGATGAACACTCATAAAAGAAGTAATATATGATTATCATATGCCTAACAATTAATATATAGATATCTAGTGTTCAAATTTCCAGTTGTCCCTATTGTTATGATTCATTTTTCTTTTGGCAGTTTGTTTGAATTGGGCCCCAAATAAGGTCCAATACTGTGCAGTTGGTTGATATCTCTTTTAAGTCTTTTAATGTATGAGCTCTGTCCTCATTTCTTTTTTTTTTTATTGTACTTTATTTGTTGAAAACACTACTTCCTTCCCCCTACCTCTTTTAAAGCTTCTGGTTTCGTGGGTGCCATATGGTCTTCCTTCTCTTGGATATAAATTAGAAGGTTGTTTTTTGTTTTGTTTAAGTTTTTTTCTGTTCTTTACATTGTCTCTTTTTTTTATTCCTTTTTTTCTTTTTATTCTGATAACTCTTTCTCATGTTTAGAGCCTTCCTTTAAATAATTTGGGATCCTTTGCTATCTTTTCCATATTTAAGAGTGTGGTAACAAAAAGCTGATTGGAAAGGATTCTATAGCAAGAATTTGTCTATTACTCATTGGCTTCCTTCCTTTATGCTTAGATTTTAGTTTTCTCTGATGTGCTGTGTGACTTACCACTTACTCATCTTCTGCTACTGCTTCCTCTCCTGTTCTCTGTTCTTGTGAGTTTGTGCATAATTTTTCCATTATTGTAATTTCAATGGCGGTTTAGAAGGAAGTAGAAAGTAAAACATCCATGTTTAACCAGAAGCCTCTTTCCATTTTAAAGTTCCTGTTAATACAATAAATGTGGTGAAATAAAAGGTCAGTAGCGTTAGGTGAAGCTTATGGGGATTTTTGTCCTAATAAAGCAGTTACTGAGCCTAAAAGGTTTTGTTAACCATTGCTTAAAGCAGTTTCTTCCTACATCATCTTAGAAACATGAACAGTACTTCTTGTTCATTCTTATGTTCAAATCAGGGAGGGTTTAAAAACTAATAACTAGTTTATGAGAAAATTATTTCAGAGGAATGTAGTTGCTTTGACAGCATGAGTCATTATTAACAGGTTCTGTATTAGGGTTTAGAATTTAACCACTTGTGAATGTAATGGAGTGTGAACTGTAATTGAAAAATAAAAATAAAAGTAAATAAACTTAAAAGTTAAAACTGCTTTATTGAGGTTTAACTGACATACAATACACACATAAAGCATGGCCTTCTTATGAACCAGTATATCCTAATCAAAATTGCTGACTCTAGGGTGATTTATATTTGTCATCAGGTCTTTACATAAGTAAAATAAATAAAATTTTAATTATTACACATTTCTACCTTAGACAAAATGAAAGAATTCTTTAGTGAGTGAATCTCACTGCACATTTTCAACTAAAGAAAGTCTCGTCAGTGTTACATGTATGGAAACTATCTTACAAGATAATTATAATAGAATGAAATTATCTTGTTCTAGCCCCTCATTCTATAGAGAAGGTAGCAGGAAGTCCTTGAGCAGTGAAAGGATTTGACCAAGGTAACTCATCTAGTTATTATTAGCACGGGCCATTAAACTATAGCTTTTGATCCCTAGATAATGTTTTCATTGTAGTAGAATAATAGAAGAGGGATATACAGTAAATATATTGATGAGTATTTTTGCTGCTTACTGAACAGAAGAGTAATTTTTAAATGATAAGCTTTGTAAAGGTCTGTATAATTTTTGATGTAGGTAGAAATTGGGAATATAGCTTTAAGGTACTGGGAACTTAGTCCAAGATTATATAGGTAGCAATAGGAAAAGGGCAGATTTGGGCTAGACTGGGACAAAATTATCAGCAGGCCTAGGTGATAAACCTCATTCATATAAATTATAGAAAGGACCTATTGGTTCTGAGACACAGGAGTTGTAAATGACAGGACAAGGTAATGAAATCAGAGGTTGGTTTGGAATTTGATATACTAGCTGGGCAAATCAGTTAAAATGGTAATCAATTAAAAATGTAAATGTTAATGTCTATGTTTTGATGTCTACATAGACATTGAAAGCAATCGATTTCTATTCCTGGTTTGACCATTTTCAGTCACTGGCACTTCCCACTGAAAGTAGAAAACTACTAGAATGGGAAACAGGATTTTTTTAGCTTCTTTATTTTTCCCAGAGGTCTCATTTCTGTGTTTTAAATTTATCTGTGGTCCCTTTAAACTGAAAAGAAAAACCAACTCATCTTTCTCTCATCCCCCCAAAAAGATTCTCTTTACCATTCTTTCTGTTTAATCTGTGGTGCACCCATTCAGTCACTCTGGCCTGAAAAATAGAAGTTATCTATGATTTATCCTCATTATACAACAGAAAAAAAGTTAGAACTATAATAAATGATCATTTTCACCTCTTTAATCCAACACAATTATAGTACCTCTCAGAATGTGTTGTAACCATTTATTAATTTATCTGTCATTCCCGCCAGGTTATGAACTTCTTGAACATTATTTTATTTGTATTTGTCTTAGAGTGCCTGGCACATAGAATTTGCTCAGGAAATGTTTGGTTGGCAAAAAGAGAACTTTGCCTGCAGGGTCAAACAGAAATTCTTTCTGACATTTCAAATTGTCCAGAGCCTGGATCCTCCCTGCTTCACCTCCCCACTTTCCACACTGATTTGGTTTCTCCCTGTTCATCATGCATGCCTCCATGTCCCTGCTCACACTGGTACTCCATACCTCAACTTGTCTTTAAGCCCAATCCTTCCCACCCATCTAAATTCCACTCTAAAAGTTCCTAACCCTTCCTCCTCCCTGTAGCCTTCCTACACAAGTAGCACTGATCTTTCCTTTCTCTGCATTCCTGTACTGCTTATTGCCAGCAGCAAATCATTTTATCTCTTCATCATATCCAGTGTGCTATAGCTACCATTTAATTGAATATCTCTTATATACTAGGATTTGGAATATACAGACCTTATCGCAAATGGTTACACAGCTTCCAGAAGTACAGTGGTGTTATCCCTATTATATAGATGAAAGGTAAACTGAGGCTCAGAGAGTTTAAGTAAATAACTTGCTCCAGATTGTACAGATCTGAATCCAGATCTTTTTAACTCTAGAAAGTCTTTGCTCTATCAGCTACACCACAGTATTTCCTCTCCCTCTCCCTGGCCCCAAAATAGACCTTTGTGGGTATATCCATCCTTCCCCATGGCTGGCACATGTTGTAGATGCTTAATAAATATTTGTTGAATTGAGTTGATGGGGTATTGAAACCTGTTCCCTTTTTTATGTTTTAATATTTCATTAGGATACCTTTTAGTATTTATAAAAATTTGCTCTTTTTTGGTCATTTTTCTTAGCTTTGATTAAAATACTTGTCAATTTGATGTTAAAGCCAATATCAAATATGTTCTCTATATTTATTTTTTCTCTGTATTTATATTTATTTATCAAGTATGTTCTCTGTATTTAAAGTGCAGATTTTATAAATATGTACTTTTTTCTGGTTATATAATTTAGTAAAATAGTTATTCTGAAAATTCAAGAGAAAGATGGATAGAATGTATTTTACGTTTTTGTAACATATAAGCACAATTTTATTTAAAATAGGCACCAAAGACTTTTTTTTCCAAGATTGTCTCTGAAAGCTATTGCAACTGCCATTATATTTTGTAGTTCGAGACCGTGTTCGAACAAAAATGGAACGGGATATCTTGGTAGAAGTTAATCATCCTTTTATTGTCAAGTTGCATTATGGTGAGTTATAAACCAGCTCCCACCTCACTGCTTCACCTCATCCACCATTCCCTGAGTGCATTCAGATATACTAATATGTATAAATATTTATTTCTGTATATTTATGTGTTAAGCAGATACACATAGTAAAGTCATTGAAATTAAATCATTACTTAAACAAGCTTTAGAAGCTTTTATCACATTTAGCACATTATAATGTCTGATTGGGTAGCTGTAGGAACAAGTAATAATAATCACTTTTATTATATTAATAATAATGTACTGTCATTTTATAGCCCATATGTGTTAGCCCAACTTAAAAGCAAGAAAGACGCCTAATGTCCTGAAACTTCTATTGACTCTCTTTTTTCCAAGGGTCTATGTGCTTTTTCTCAGTGGGTAAACGTATGGTGACTCTTATTACATGTAATTAAAGCTAACAAACCCACATTTTTTCTGTAATAAAGTGAGGTGGATTTTGTATTTTGTTTCTTGTTTAAGAATGTTTTTTTCTTTGGGGAATTTTTCTTATTGATCATAATGTTTTAGAGCTATTGTACTTCTGAGAAGACTATTGCCTGCAGAAAATCTAACAAATGTTCTAGTGGTTTCATAAAAGGAAACACTGCATTTAACATTTCCACATGAAAACTAAGAAATCAGTGGTTACCTTCTAAATAAAAATCAGTTTATATGTATGTATAATTATTAATTTGCTTTAAAAAATCATTTCTGAATGAATTGACCTAGTATAAGCTTAAAAACCTAAACTATGATGGATTAAACAAAAAATTTTATTTCTTCATTCAGCTTTCCAAACTGAAGGGAAGTTGTACCTTATTTTGGATTTTCTCAGGGGAGGAGATTTGTTTACACGCTTATCCAAAGAGGTATATAATTAATCTTTATTTTTAATCTATTTATACTCATCCTGTTTCAACTAAAGCATTGTCTTATTCTATACTATGATTATCGTATTTCTCTAGTGGCACAAGATTCTTACATTGAAGAATCAAAGTTAAGAAGAGTTCTTTTTGTACCTTTTGAATTTATTCTGAAAGTAGGACCTTCAATCAATTACTTATCTTAGTCTTTTGTCCTGCTTCATTTACTTACAGTTTTTCAGAAGCAACAATATATCAACAAGATACTCTTAAATAACTGGTAGTAGAAAGTCAGCATTGCATCTTAAAAATCACTTCTCATTTCCCAGATCCTACTGTGGTAGGGTGACAATGATACAATCTGAACCTAGTGGTTACTTAACAAAATGCAAAATCATTTCCCTCATAGGGTGTATTTTGCATTTAGTAAGTGGTTATTTAGTTGATTGATTTGATAATTTCTGCAAATTTTAATGAAGAAATTGTGGGTAAAATTACATGTGATAGCATATTTATAATTTTTGAATATTTAAACCCTGGGATGGAACTTTAAATGAAAATTACAGACAAAAAGAAAATGAAGACAAAAATACTATTTTTTTTAGGTGATGTTCACAGAAGAAGATGTCAAATTCTACTTGGCTGAACTTGCACTTGCTTTAGACCATCTACATAGCCTGGGAATAATCTATAGAGACTTAAAACCAGAAAAGTAAGGAATCATGCTAAGTTGAATACAATGTAATATCGTGGTTTAGGAGGTAATAAAAAAGAAAATTACTTCATATAACTGCCACAGCATTGCATTACAGTGCCTGTGCTTCACATTTCTGCTAACGCTATGTTTTCTCATATTTTTAAATACCTGTTAATCAAAATTTATGCTAGTGTTATCTTGCCTTCATTTGCATTCTTTGATTTTTTTTATTTTAAAGATTTTATTTACTTATCTTTAGAGGGGAAGGGAAGGAGAGAGGGAGAGAAATATCAGTGTATGGTTGCCTCTCGTGGGTCCCCTGCTGGGAACTGGCCCGCAACCCAGGCATGTGCCCTGACTGGGAATTCGAACCGCCATACTCTGGTTCACAGGCCCGCGCTCAATCCACAGAGCCACACCAGCCAGGGCTTGCGTTCTTTGGTTTTTAATGAGGTTGAAATCTGTGTACCTATGTTTATTGGCAGTTTGTATTTTTGTGTGATTTTTCGTTTGTGGACTTTGCTCATTTTTCTTTTGGAATGTTATGTTTTCCCATTGATTTGTAAGAGACCTTTACAAATTAAGAATTTAACCATGTGACATACAGGGTAGGGCCAAAGTACGTTTACAGTTGTTCGTATGAAAAATATATTACAAATACACTTTTCTACTTTTTACTTTTATTATTTTAACCTACACAACTATTTTTTCCTAAGATCTATCAATCTTTATTTTATTTTTTTATTGTTCAAGTACAGTTGTCTCCATTTTCACCCTACCTTGCCCCCCCCCCGCCCCACCCATCCCTACCTCCCACCCTCAAACCTACTACCTTTAGCTTTGTCTATGTGTCTTTCATGTATGTTCCTTGATGGCCCTTCCTCTATTTTCCCCTGTTATCACTCTCCCTCCTCCCCTCTGGTCACTGTCAGTTTGTTCTTTATTTCTGTGTCTCTGATCCTATTTTACTCGTTTGTTTGTATTTTTGATTAGATTCCAGTTATAGGTGAGATTGTATGGTATTTGTCTTTCACTGCTTGGCTTATTTTCCTTAGTATAATGCTCTCCAGTTCCACCCATGATGTCACAAAGGGTAGGAGCTCTTTCTTTCTACTGTGTAGTATTCTATTGTGTGAAAGTCTTTTAAGTAGACTCATCAAGAAAAAAAAAAGAGAGGACTCAAATAAACAAAATCAGAAACAAAAGAGGAGAAATGACAGCTGATACCACTGAAATACAAAGAATTGTAAGAAATTATTATGAAATTTGAAAACCAGGGTGAAATGGACAAGCTTCTAGAAAAATATAATCCCCCAAAACTAAATGCAGAAGAAGGAGAAAGCCTGAACAGATAGCAGCTGATGAAATCAAAGCAGTAATCAAAAAACTCCCGGCACAGAAAAGCCCTGCACCAGATGGTTTCATAGGAGAATTTTTCAGTCTTTTGTGATTCCTTCTATGACTTATATTCTTAGAAAGGTTTTTCCAATCACATGATCAGATTTTTTTTCTAATTTTATGGTTTCTTTTTTTACTTTTAACTCAATTTAGAGGTTTTTTTTTTTTGCGTAAGGTATGGCATAAAGCTAATGCTTTTCTCCAAATACCATTTATTGACATTTTTCTTCTCCACCTGATTTCAGATTTTAAGTATGACTTGAGCAAATTTCTCATTGCTTTCATAATAGCAGTTATCAAAAAGCTAATGTTTAAATTGTACACACTTCTGTGTTTTAATTTTTAAGTGTTTATCACTTTCAGTGAGAAAGTTTTTTCACCCTTTTTAAAGATAAAGGGCCTTGCTCTATCAAGAATTTTTTTTTTTTTAACAACTTGCCTTGCAGGTGTAGCTCAGTGGATTGAATGCGGGATGTGAACCAAAGAGTTGCTGGTTCAGTTCTGAGGCAGGGCACATCCTGTGTTGTGGGCCAGATTCCCAGTGGGGGGCATGTGAAAGGCGACCACACATTGATGTTTCTCTCCCTCTTTTTCTCCTTCCTTTCCCCTCTCTCTAAAAATAAATAAAATATTTTGGAAAAAAAATTTTACACAACTTTATTGAAATATAATTCACATAGCATATAGTTCATCCACTTAAAGTATACAATTCAGTGATTTTTTAGTATATTCTGCATTTGATGAAACCATTTTTATCAGGAATTATTTACATTAAAAATGTTACATGCAAAATTTACATAATATATAGTAAAAGGAAATAGAAAATGTTCCTTGGGAATCCTGTTAAAGTGATCATTCAGAAATTGTTACACTTCTACATTTTATGTTTGTTTTTTCATATATTCTGTTTGGGGATGTTTCTTATGATTCTGTTCTTACTTCCCAGATAATTACTGAGTTTTTCTCATGATTTGCCCAATTTCTAACTATTATTACATAAAATACAATTTCTGGTAAGAACAAATATTCAAGTATATAATCCTTAGAAGAAAATAATTACTATAGACATAAGCTTGAACATTCATATTAAAAATATATTAGCATTTTACATCATTTAATTGAATAACCTGGCTGGTGTGACTCAGTGGATTGAGTTCCAGCCTGTGAACCAAAGGGTTGCTGGTTCAATTCCAAGTCAGGGCACATGCCCAGGTTGTGGGCCAGGTCACCAGTAGGGGGTATGTGAGAGGCAACCACACATTGATGTTTCTCTTACTCTTTCTCCTGCCCTTCTTCTCTCTCTCTAAAAATAAGTAAATAAAATCTTTTTAAAAAATGGAATGTAGCCCTGGCTGGCGTAGCTCAGTGGATTGAGCGCGGGCCTGTGAACCAGAGTATTGCGGTTCAAATTCCCAGTCAGGGCACATGCCTGGGTTGCAGGCCAGTTCCCAGCAGGGGACGCATAAGAGGCAACCATACATTGATATTTCTCTCCCACTCTTTCTCCTTCCCTTCCCCTCTCTCGAAAAATAAATAAAATATTTTTTTAAAAATGGAATGTATTTAGTTTAGACCTTCATATAAACAGTGGTCATAAAACTATATAGAGAGCATGGGCCCTGTCTCAAGTGTCAAATAAGTTCAAATGTAGGTAAGATTGTTTATAGTGAGATCTTTCAAATACATGTCTAGACAATGCTATTATATTGCAATAACATTTGTTAAATGATCCAAGTAAAGACCATCATACAGAACTTGGGAAAATTTAATCCTCACAGTTGTTTTATGCACTGTGAGGATTTTTTCCAGATACCTTTAAACTGTTGTTATAAATATAGCTAAAATAATGATTAATAGTTGAAAGGGAGCTTATTGAGAGCAATACAGTTGACTTTAAATAGATAACAAATGGACATGATAACTTGATGCTTTAGAAGGTATAAGTAATACCCTTTTAGCCATGCTTTCTTTTTTCTCTCAATATCAAGAATAGTTTGAGGTTTTATTTTGTTTTTAGAACTGTCATATGTTTATTGGACAGAACAGGGATGATTTCCACCATGTCTACTAATTCCCTTTATTTTTCCTAAATGTATTGATCTGCTTTATAATCAAGCATAATCAAGATTAGTATTTTTTTCATAACAAGTCCCTTGTTAAGAAGAGATTTGAAAAATATGTCCCTACTGAATTACCTTCAGTGGTAAATTTTTTTATTGTAATCATAGTTGAATTGATAGGAAATTTGGTAGTATTTTTAACAGTAAAATATCATTATAACAAAATTTGGCTTTCATATTTTTAGTTAGTATTAAAAGTAAGGAAATGTCTGTATTATGGAATAGCTTTGAATATAAGTGAAACTGTTTATTACTTGATCTTTCAAGTTAGTGTACCAAAATACCTATCCAGAAATACAATTGATTTACAGCTTAGTACTTAACCCCTTTCTTTATCTCCTTATTTAATGACATTGCTCTCCAATCATGGATCACCTAAAGTCAGAAACTTGCGTTCTGCCAGAAACAAACTCCATTTGTTCTTCTTTATCACAAACCATACCTAAGAGCTCACTAAATACCCTGTATTTTCCCTCTAAATTGTTTTGTAAACATGCAGATCTATCTGTGTAAACCTTTTGTGGTCTTCAGTGCCCTTGAAAAGAAGTCCAAACTATTTGGAATGCCCTATTGACCCTTAATAGCCTGGTGCCATTCATACAACATGCATTTCTTATTTGTCTGTGCCTTGCTAGGCACTGAGTTACAAGATGAAGAAAGTCAAACCCTCTAAGGAGCTCACAGTTTACTGAGAGAAAACACTGCAGAATGTATACAGTGAAGGGATGAGTCAATGAAAATCAAGGAGTGTGAGGAAGGTGTGTTGAGGAGAAGAGGATCGTGGTGGTCATGTCAGGAAAAAAGGCTAGGAAAGAATGATTGAGTCAGATGCCTTTAAAATAACCAAGAGAATGACAACTCTAATGCATTCGACTTAAACGTGTGAACCCTCTGTGTATTGTGCAAGTACTAAGGAATTTAGTTAGACTACCTCTGCAGAAAGAGGTACTTAGAAAGAGCAACTTAGAAGAATACATAGGCTTTGGTTCTTTTTCTGTTAGTTTTCTAGTGCTCCTGGCTCATTAATACAAGTTTATAAGGCTTTATCTTTGGCATTTGTTATATATGTGTGTCCAAAAAATAACTTTTTTCCATATTTACCTTTGCCGTCTTATTCACAGTCTAAAGCAGTATTTTAGAATGAGCATGGTGAGTTGATGCGTAACAAAGTAATTTAGTTTTAACCTCTAAATTTCTACTGGTTTGAAAAGATCTTTGTCTTTTTATTTCAGCATACTTCTTGATGAAGAAGGTCACATCAAATTAACAGGTAAAATTCCTCATTTTATTAAAATATGCTCTCCTACTTATACATAAATTTCCTTTTAAGGTCAATCACAGTACAAATAACGTGTAGCACAATTAAAATTTTGGATTAGAAGTTTTAATAATTTAAATATTGGAACTCAAAGTTTAAACTTTATATGTGCAAATTATTGTAGTGCATTTAGGAGTTCTATATTTATTTTGGCAGATTTTGGCCTGAGTAAGGAGTCTATTGACCATGAGAAGAAGGCATATTCTTTTTGTGGAACTGTGGAATATATGGCTCCAGAAGTAGTTAATCGTCGAGGTCATACTCAGAGTGCAGACTGGTGGTCTTTTGGTGTGTTAATGGTAAGGTTTGGGGTGGTTTTTTTTTTTGTGGGAAGTTTGAAGAAACTTCAAACTTCTATTTGAAGAAAATAGAAGTATGAATCTCCTATTTTATTATGTAGCAATTTTTAAAATTTTGGTCGTAATTAAGATGATGCTTTCTTACCTTCTGGCCTTGAGATTTTATACTTATTGACTAATACCTCAGATTTTTTTGCCTTTTTGTAGTTTGAGATGCTCACTGGTACACTGCCTTTCCAAGGAAAAGATCGAAAAGAAACAATGACTATGATCCTTAAGTAAGTACTTCCTACTGGGTATGTTATGATGAGATTTTAAAGTAAATGCTTCAAGCTAATAAAAAAGAGAGAGATTTCAAAGTGTTGCTACAGTTTAAAAAATAATTGCCCTGGCTGGTGTAGTTCAATGGATGAGCACCAGCCTATAAACTGAAAGGTTGCTGGTTCGATTACCAGTCAGAGCACAGGACTGGACTGTGGGCCAGGTCCCAGTTAGAGGTGTGGAGGAGGCAACTGATCATGTTTATCTTCCTTTCTTTCTCCCTTCCCCCCTCTCTAAAAATAAATCAATAAAAATTTTAAAAATAAAATAAAAAATAATACACGCATTTATGTAAATAGGCAAAAAGATTCTAGAAGGGTATCAGAGAATATCTATGTGATCTTGGGGTAGGAAAAGTCGTTTTAGGTCACAAAAAGCAATAGCTATAAAAGAAAAGATTGAGATATTAGTACTACATTAAAATTAATATAACCAACAAAGGGCTTATATCCGGAGTATATCAAGAACTCTAGTTAATCAATAAGAAAAAGACAGCCCAATGGAAACAACATAGTTAGGAGACATAGGGACTTCAGTGGCCAATAAACTTTAAAAAGGTGCTCACCCCCATTAATCAGAAAATGCAAGTTAAAAGCACAATAGGCTATAATCGCATACCCAACAGTAAAAAGACTGACGATACAAATGCTCACAGGATGTGGAGCACTGGCAACTTTCATACGTAGCTGAAAGGAATACAGATACTTGTATAACCACTTTGGAAAGCTGTTTTTGGCATTATCTTCTAATGTCAAATTTACATATACTCTCATCTAGTAATCCCATTTTTAGGCATGCATCCAGTTTATATGCATCAAGGTACTTGCACATCCAAAATGAAGCACAAAGATGTTCATAGCAGCATTATTTGTAATGGTCAAAAAGTGGAACCTGGATCAATCATTAACTGTAGAATGGATTGATAAATTATGATATATTCATATAATAGAATACAGTAGGGGTCGACAAACTACCTGTAAATATTTCAGGCTTTGCAGGCCACACACAGTCTCTGTCACATATTCTTAATGCTTATCTTTAGTGTCCAGTACTTCAAAAGTTGTAAAAACCATTCTTAGCTCAAAAGCCATGTAAAAACATACTGAGGCCTTTAGTTCATGGGTGCGGTGTGCCATATAGCAAAGAAAATGGACAAACCACACTTATATGCAGCAATTTGTGTAAATCTCATAAGAATGTTGAGCAAAGGAAGTTTGGATATAAAAGAATGAATGTTATATGATTCTTTTTTTTAATGCTATATGATTCTATTTTTAAAGTTTTAAAAACAAACTAAAGCAAGTTTTTAGGGTTCATATTTAGATCACAAAAGCCTGAGGCAAAATAAGGAAAGTGGTTACATTGGATGAGGGGTTCTGGCAATGTTAAATTTCTTGGTCAGATGATGCTTCACTTTGTGGTAAATCATTGAGCTTTGTATTTTGGGTTGGATTTTTCTTTTTTGCACTTTATGTTTTTCTTCACAATAAAAAAGGTTAAAAAATGTTTGCCATATAAATGAATGTTCACTGAATCCTCATCACTCCATCTACTCTGGCCCTTCCCTTTTAGCTAACAAACATGCTCTAGTGTTGAAAAAAAAAACTCTAGACGCTTTTTTTTTTTTAATTTGGCTTTCCTTCCAAGTTTCTGCAATATCTCCCTGCATCCTTTCAACACAAAGCCTATTTAAATAGTAGTCTTTTGTTGCCATTTTTGGCTTCTTTTATTCCATAGTCTGTCATTTATTTCCACCACTCTACTGAAACTTCTTTCACCGTTGTCATCAGTGATCTACTTGCTTAAACCAGTGGCAGATTGTTAGAAAGGTGACTGTCATTTTGTTCACACAGTTCATTCAACAGATGACGAAGATGTTGCTACAGGTATTTAGGATGCAGTGTGAGCAAGACTGACAAGGTCTTTTGAGGTATCACAGAGCTTGCATTCTCCCAATGGAGACAGGAATTAATATTTAAGCAAATAAATATAATAATTTCAGATAGGAGAAATAGAGGTAGATAGTAAATCAGAGTACTCTTAAAGTGTGAGGGCAGAGCAGGAGCCATTTTTTTTACGAATATTTAAAAATTTTTTTGAGAGAGAAAGGAAGGAAAAAGAGGGAGAGAAATGTTGATCAGTTGCCTCTTGCACGCCCCCTCCTACTAGGAACCTGGCCTGCAACCCAGGCAAGTGCCCTGAATAAGAATCAAACTAGTGACCTTTTGGTTCGCAGGCCAGTACTCTATCCACTGAGACACACCAGCCAAGAGCAGGAGCCATTTTAGATGGAAGAGTTAAGAAAAGTCTCTCTGAGGAGTATTTGACGCTGTTAGCCATTCCCTCTCCCCTTACTTTTTTCTGTTCCCATTGGCTTCTCCTCCCTCTCTAATCATTCCTCTCTGGGTCTCTTGCTTGACTATTCCTTCTCTGCCTGCTTTTCTCTTTGTAATTATGAAATCTTTCAAATATGAATTTGCAAAAGTAGAATAATACAATGAACACACATGTACCAGTTACCGAAAATTCAGTAGTCATCAAAATTTTGCAACATTTGCTAATTTCCTTTTTCTAATTTACTGAAATATTTTCAGCATTTCAAACATGTCATTTCTTGCTTCACTTTGCATCACTAAAAAGTACAGATTTTTTTATATGACCACATCTAACAAAATTAGTAATAATGCTTAGATATTGTCCAGTACCAATCTTTAACCAGATTTTCCAGGTTTTCTCCAAAAGAGTGTTTAAAATATATATTTTTTTATTTTGAAGAGGGTGGAAGGGAGGGAGAGGAGAAGGAGAGAAACATTGATGAGAGACAGAAACATTTCTCTGCTGCCCTCTGCCATCCGTGAGCACCTCAACAGGGACAGAGCCCACAAACCAGCCATGTGCCCTAACCAAGGATCAAACCAGTGACCTTTTGGTCAGGAGGATGACACCCAACCAACTGAACCACACTCACCAGGGCTAAAACAGTGTTTTTATTTTTTTAAGATTTTATTTCTTTTTAGAGAGAAAGAGGAAGGGAAGAAGAAAGAGAGGGAGAGAAACATCAATGTGTGGTTGCCTCTCACGTGCCCCCCACTGGGGACCTGGCCCATAACCCAGGCATGTGCCCTGACTGGGAATCGAACTGGTGACCCTTTGGTTTGCAGGCCAATGCTCAGTCCACTGAGCCACACCAGCCAGGTCTAAAACAGTGTTTTTATAGTCCCAAATTAAGTCTGCACATCTCATTTGGTTGTATTCCTTAAGCTTCTGTTCATCTAGAATGCTCTACCCCTGTTTGTCCCCTGCCATTAGAAACTAACTCAATCAATATAGAATTCTACTTTCTGGATTTATCTTTTGGAAAGACAAGAGCACCTTTCAATATCTGAAGCAAAAAGCATAAAGCTGGTTCTGTTGCTTACTGTAGTAAGAGAGAGCAATGCTGGTCCAGTAGAGTCTCCCTAAGCAGAGCAGACCACTGTTCTTACATAGGGTTTGGGGAAGGGTGGAGTTCAACATTTGGCCTCTTTTCAGGGCCATAAGTGGGTTGACATCATCTGTAAGAGTGTGGTTACGTGGGTGGACTGTTCATTAGTTGGCATTCAGGTGTGGTTAGTGGAGGCAACCCACTCTTGTTTGGCTGATTTTCACAGAGAGCAGTTACTGATTGGTTGGTTTGCAACACAAACAAAGAAAAACCAGCAACAGCTGTGTTCACCTAGACAGGTTGTCTTTGATCAATTAAATGGATTTAAAACCAGTTCTGGTGGCTCTAGTGTTACCATGGTTATACAACAATTAGGCTTTTTCTAGGAGTGTGGAAATGTTTTTATTTACCTTACTCCTTTATCCTGTTTTGCCTAAATTTTTTGTCAAGATTATTTCATAGCTTGTGCTGTTGCACCACACCAAGAGCTTGCAACAGCTGGTTGTTTTACTTTAAGTGATGAGTTCCCATGTTTACAGCTGATCCCTCCACTGTAAAGTTCCCCGTCAGGCTTTTATCTGTTGGCTTCCTCCTTTGATAATCATTACTTGAAACAATTATTTTACTAGGGATTCAAAAATGGTGGTTTTCTATTACTATTATTCTTTTATTTATTAGCTGGGTTTTTTTCCCAATGAACTTTCCTTCATCGACTAGTTACCTTGAAGTGAGGCTCAAACAAGAAAGGCAGAATAAATGCCTAATTCTTTTCTTAATTACTTCCATTTGTCAGAGCCCTACTTAACTTTCAGTGAGGGTGGTGTCAATTAGTTGGGTTTTTATGTTAGTTTTGACTTTTCTTTTTGTTACTTTAATGAACTTGTGGGATTTAATAGTCAGTATGATTCAGCCAATTGCATTCATTATTTTTAATGCCCAAATTGTCCTTATTCTGATCACCATTTAAATGCCCTTGTTACCCAGTGTTTCATTTCTAATATGCTTTTCTTCCCCTCTGTGCTCACTTTACCTTAGTCTTTGTTATAACTACTCTCACTGTTTTAAATACTCCCAAATCACTCTTTCTTTCCTTAACTTACCATACACCAGACCTATATTTTCATTTACTTACCTCTCTCAAAACATGTGACGTGCACGACTTCACATTTTAATCTCTATTTGCTATTCTTTCCTCTTGTATTTCCAATTAGTAGCATTTCCATGCAGCCAGAAACCTGGGAATCATTTTTTATTTCCTCTCTCTTGCATGTGCAGGTATTCACCACATTCGCTCTCAGAAATATTTGTGTCCTAACCTTTCCTCTGCATTGAACTGCTTGTAGTTGAGAACCATGGTGATTTCCTACCCACACTATTGGGCCAAGCTCTGAAGTAGAATGCCTATTACCTCCCAACACTTCCCACTCCAGATCTTTTTAGACTATCCTTGGAGTTACCTTCTTGAAAATGAATCTGGTCATGTTAGTCCACTATTTAAAGACTTCTGCTATATCCCCATTACCTAACATGGCAGTGTTTCTCCAGATTTGCTCAACACAACCCTAATTCTATAAGATGTTAATAGGTCCTCTCTAAGAAAAAGGTTCTGGAAACAAATGTTTAGGGAAAATACTGATTTTTTATTTTTACTCTAGATGTTTCAGCCTTTTATATGCAAGGTATTTAATTCTATGTCTTCACCAGGGGTGTATAATAGTCAGCATTCCAAACTCATTGGATCATGAAAATATTTTGTTGTTAACTGTCTAGAGAGATTAATGTTACTCAGTAAAATGTTGGAGAACCACTGAACAAACAAATTCTCAACCTTTAAATTGCATTGAAGGCCTTTCACAGTCTCTGGTGCTAAATTAGATACTGTCTATTGTTCCCTTAGCACTTTTTCCATATGTGCTTCTGAATTTGTCTTTTAATCAGGATTATCTATATCCATCTTCCCCACTGACCTTTGGGGGCTATCTTTATCATTTTATCCTCAGCAGTAAGCAATGTCTAGCACATAGTAGTTCAATAACACCACACTGAATAATAAATGGATCTATTTCTGAAATAGAAATTTCTTTGCTAGCCATTTCCCCAGCTCTATTATTATTTTTATACACATAGATTCATTGGTTTTCTTAATTTGTAGGTTGAAGAAAAGATTAAAATTATATATTAGAGCTGAAACAGACCTTCAAGTTCATCCAGGCCAGTGGTTTTCAGACTGTGCCACAAGCTCTTAGATATTTCACAGATCCCTCTCCCACCAGCTCCTCTTCCCTGCAGGACTATTAAAAGGAATGGGGGGTGCATACGAAGCACATGTTCTTTTAGCAGTTTTAAATGTTGGATTTTTTAAATTATTTTTGAAGAAGGGTTCCAAGGCTACATTTTGAGAGCCATTGATCTAACATCCAATGCCTTTGCTTATTAAAAAGAAAATGGTAACAGCCCCAAGGGGATTGGCTTTGGCAAGGTCATGAAGTTCTTAGTAAAAGAGCCAGAACTAAGGCTCAGATGATCTCATTCTCACAGTAGTGCTTTTTGCAAAATTCTGAAAAACAAAAAGCTTATTAGGACACTATGGACTAATATTATTATGTGTTCACACCAAAACCTATACAGAAATGTTCTTACCAGCTTTACTTGTAGTAGCCCAAAAACTGGGCATGATCCGGATTATCTTTTATAGATCAAACTCTTACACATTTGTGCCATGGCATACTACTACTTAGCAATGAATGAGTGAACTCTTAATACACACAATAACTTGGATGAATCTCAAGGGAATTCATGCTGAGTAAATAAAATAGTTACCCACTGTATGATTCCATTTACATTCTTAAAATGACAAAATTATAGAAATGGAGAATTAGCTTAGAGGTTGCCAGTACTGTTAGGTATTGGGAAAGGAGGCAAGTGGGATGTGGCTGGAAAGGGGCAGCATGAGTGATCCTGCTGGCAATCAACTGTTCAGTGTCTTTACTGTGGTGATAGATGCAGAAACCCACACGTGTGATAGAACTAAACACACATGTGTACATACACACGTGCACACACACAATACAATTAAATGGAGACATCTCAATGAGATCAGTGGATGGTATCAATGTCAGTATCCTGGTTGTGAAAGTGTACCATAGCTTTGTGATGTTACCTTTGGGGAAAGAAAACTGGGAAAAGAGTACACAGGATCTCTCTCTATTATTTCTTATAACTGAGTATAAATCCACAACTATCTTAAAATAAAAAGTTTAACTTAATTTAAAAGTAAAATACAGGCACCTCCAAAAATAACATGTTATCTTATGTGGATTTATTATTTAGAGCTAAGCTTGGAATGCCACAGTTTTTGAGTCCTGAAGCCCAGAGTCTTTTACGAATGCTTTTCAAACGAAATCCTGCAAACAGATTAGGTAAAATTTTTATTTTGTTTCTTTCGTGTGTGTGTGTGTTGGTATTTGTTTTTTTTTCCCCAGGAGTGGGGGGGGTGGATATTTGTTTTTGTTGTGGGATTATGAACTAGTAGGATAAATATTAATAGCGAAGACTAAATAAATAGTATATATGCCTCCTTGAAATAAAATTATCATTTAATCAAAACTGGTTAATTTTTTGTAGGTGCAGGACCAGATGGAGTTGAAGAAATTAAAAGACATTCATTTTTCTCAACAATAGATTGGAATGTAAGTATAGAATCAAAATTTGCTTGAATTTTTTTTATAATTAACACATGTCTAAGTCTCTCTTTCCCCCCCCCCCCCAGAAACTATACAGAAGAGAAATTCATCCACCTTTTAAACCTGCAACTGGCAGGCCTGAAGATACATTCTATTTTGATCCTGAGTTTACTGCAAAAACTCCCAAAGGTAAGAAGAAATATGAAAACCCAAATATAAGACAAGGAATTTTCCTCATTCAGTGAGAAAATCTTTTCTAGCTTAATTCTTTATGCTCTCCTCATATGTCCCTTTCACCCCCCATTCCTGCCACAATAACTAGATAATTAGTAAATCCTTTATAGCATTTGATAGCAGTTAAGATCCTTGTTAAATCTTTTAACAAATTATATTATATTGTACCTTAATGATACTACTTATGTGGAAAACTATTTGTTAGTGTTTATTTACCTGTAGATCTTTTTACATGAAATACGCTTCAGTATAAATAGTTCTCGTTAAGACTGTAATACTATGTGGTATTCTGAAAGTATTTATGAAATTTAAATCCCAAGTATAACTTTATGTGAGGATTGATAACTTCAAAATAAATCATATCCTGTATCATGGTTTATCCTAAAATTGCATAAACTGACTATTAAAAGTAATCTTTGAAACGATAATCTTTATTTCATTAATTAGTATACATATGTATATGATATAATGGTGTGTCTTGCATTCTAATACTCTCATTTAGATGTACCAGACCCCAGATTTATCAAAAAATTCATTTGCTAAAATTCAGATTTAGCAAATGAATAAAAACTGCACTTATGTATATTTGCTATAAAACATTCCAGCCAAAATTTTCACAATCTGTATTGAGCATTGATAGGTATTTATTATTTTTATTAAAAGCCTTAGAAATTTGTATTAATACATGAACAGAATTTTAGCAAATACATGGACAGTGATAGGCATAGAATTGATGATATGTAGTGATGTTTTACTTTGCTTTCTCAATACAGTTTGTCCTTGTAGAGGAAAAATCTCAGAATAGATCAGTTCTATATGTATTCTGCCTAGATAGGTTCTCTTAGCATAAGTCTTCAGTATAATACTATCACACTGATTTAAAATTTACTAAGTATATATTGCAGAGCATATCAAGCTGATGTTCAAAAAGAGCTTTATATGGACTTGATGTTTAAGTAGATTTACCTATTTGTTTTTTGCTTGCCCTTAGCATTCAGGGTATATTTATAAATATTAGTGTGCCTAGTTATGTGTTTATATTTATGAATAACACATATTTATTGTTTGTCTTTAAAATGAACATTAGCCCTCGTTGGTGTAGCTCAGTGGATTGAGCGCGGGCCTGTGAACTAAGGGATCATGGTTCAATTCCCATTCAGGGTACATGCCTGGATTGCAGGCCAGTTCCCAATGGGGGACACATGAGAGGCAACCATACATTGATATTTCTCACCCTCTCCTTCCCTTCTTCTCTAAACATAAATGAATAAAATCTTTAAAAATAAATAAATAAAATGAACATTAACTATATTATTAAAGTATTTTTCTGTTAATGTCAGTAGATCCCGATAAATACTTTGAATAAAAATACATGTCATATCATGAATATATTTTAAGGACTACATACCATGATTGTCCTGGAAATTGCTTTTGATCCTTAAATATATATAATAGTTTTAATTAATAGTTTAGATTTTTAGATTCTGACATTATGTACCAGGACCACTGAACTAAATTCTTTTTTCCTAAATTATCTGTAGATCAACCTTGTTAGGTTACCATTTAGGGTTGCACCATCCAATGTGGTAGCCAGTAGCCACATATGACTATTTAAATTTAAATTAATTAAAATTAAAATTTTTGTTTGTTAGTCACACTAACCACATTCCAGATGCTCAAGAGATATATGGCTAGTGGCCACCATATTTATTCTGTTAGCACAGAAAAAGGGAATTTTCATCACTGCAGGAAATTCTATGGGACAGTGCTAATTTAGGATAGCATTAACCCAATAATTCATTGATTTATTATATTCTCAAATGAATTAGCTATTTTTCTGGGCTCTGAGGGCCTGGGATATTAGCGCTGTGGCAGTAAAACCATTAGGACAGATCTGATACAGTGCCTCCCTGAGTTATCCTGTAAGTACTAGGTGCCTGAGAGTAGAATTCCAGAAAAAGTATAAAAGGTTGTACTGTGGACAATTCTTCTGTTATTTACCTTTCAAGGTTATTACCTTCTTAGTAATTTATTATTCTTTTCAGATTCACCTGGCATTCCACCTAGTGCTAATGCACATCAGCTTTTTCGAGGGTTTAGTTTTGTTGCTATTACCTCAGATGATGAAAGCCAAGCTATGCAGACAGTTGGTGTCCATTCAATTGTTCAGGTGAGTGAATGTCTAAGTAATTTTAAATTGGAAGTGTTGTAAGATATAGTTTGTTGTATGAATAATTACATTAGATTTGATCTGACTTAAGTGGGCAGCTTAAAATACATTTTATACCATTGATACTACTTTTAGAAACCTCTGTCATATGCCTTTGGAAAGGTTGCATACGACAGAATCCTGTATACTTATGTGACTTGAAAGTGGGAATTCTAAGAGAGTTAAAATAAGTATCACCATCTTGTCTCTCCCCTCTCCTGTGCCTCAAAATGTGTATCAGGCCTAGTTTCTTTCAGCCTCTGCCTCTTGTCAAGTCAGCTCTGATGAACTGAGGTCTGTCTCCTGATTCCCTGATGCCTCAGAAGAGGGGTCTTTTTCTGTAAAGGGCTGATGATAAATATTTGAGGCTTTGTATGCTATATGATCTCTGTTGCGACTACTCAGCTCTGCCACTGTGGCACAAAAGCAGCCATAGACAATGCCAAAATGAATGAGCATGGCTGTGTGCCGGGGAGACTTTCTTTAGAAAAACTGGTAGTGAACCAGATTTGGCCCGCAGGCTATATTTTTCCAACCTCTGCCATAGAAACATAAGAAATAAAAAGGAACTTAAATCTTAAAGTTTGTCAAGTTTTGTGTCCTTGTTCTTTTGGAGCCTCCATTGTCATTAGGCAGAAATGGTTATGGATGCCGCCTTAGGGTGCCTCTTACCTCATTATGCCATCTGTTTATTGCAGTTGGAGAAAAAAGAGGTAAAAGCCACAGAAGCAGGTTCCTAGGTGTGTGTTGCTGTTTATAACAGGAGACCAGACTAGTAAATTAAATGTTAGTAAAGAGGACTGGTACAAAACATTAGATTTATTTCTTCCCATCCTAGTATCATGGAAAGATAAATTTAATTTACCTTTTTAATCATAGAGGGAATTGTTTTGAGGGTGTAATTAGTGCTTGAATTTCCTTGATAATTAAATTGCTTTCACTCTAAAGTTTGTGTGTGTGTGTGTGTGTGTGTGTGTGTGTGTGTGTGAGAGAGAGAGAGAGAGAGAGAGAGAGAGCCAGTCATCTTGCTTTCTCCACTTTCTAGAAAACCAATTTAAACACTGGTTTTTGAACAGAGTTTATGTTGAAATATTTTGTCCCTTTTACTATGACAACCATGTGATGTACTGCAAAGTTTTAAGGTCATAACTTCTATACCAAACATAGAAATTACAAACATATATTCTGCAGAACTGAAGTTTTAACCTATATGCAGCTATAGGCATGGGGGAGTCTCCTATCAGTATAGCCCAGGGCAGCACAACTTCTCTCAGCCTGTTGTGGAACTAGCGATTTGCTGTTCATCGTCCTCCATGTTATTTGTCCTTAACCCAGGGTCAATGGCTTCTCTAAGAAGAAGTTGTATTGAAGCTATGACTTGAGGGTGGAGAAAGGAAGTTACAGCTCCTCCCAATAGTCCAAAATGTTGATAATAGGTATCACCTTCAAATACATTATTTAATCCTCACCATTACCCTCTGAGAAAACCCAAGTTCAAGGTTATACAACCTACAAGTGGTACATCTGAGACAAGAATCCAGATGTTCTAATTCTGAATCCTGCTAAATCTTTTCTTCTCTACCAGAGGTTTCAAACTTCTCCCTATTTGCAGAGGTACTTCAAAGACCTATGGCCTTCTGGGGAATAGAATAGGGCTCAGTCACAGGCAAGGCTGTCGACCCTTTCCAAGCAGGTCTGCGTTTTCTGTTGTACATATTTAATTTTTTCATTTTATTGTAAGCTTTTTAAAGGGCATATTTCATGCTGTACATTTTATTGTAGACACTTCTAAGATATGTGGTATAGAATAAATGATTTAAAGATTGATTTTTATTTTTACTGATACTCATTTATACTTAATATCAACAATGCATGTTGAGTAACATATTCCCCTATTATGAAATGTACCAAAGTCATTACAGAACCCTTTGTCAATTTTTAATTGTGTTTGTAGCAGTTGCACAGGAACAGTATTCAGTTTACTGATGGATATGAAGTAAAAGAAGATATTGGAGTCGGCTCCTACTCTGTTTGCAAGAGATGTATACATAAAGCCACAAACATGGAGTTTGCAGTGAAGGTAAATGTTTTTAGATATAAAATGCAACTTTATGCCCTGGATGGTGTGGTTCAGTGGATTGAGTGCCAGCCTGTGAACCATAGGGTCGCTGGTTCTATTCCCAATCAGGGCACATTGCCTGGGTTTTGGGCCAGGTTGGGCCCTCAGTAGGGGATGCATAAGAGGCAACCACACATTGGTATTTCTCTCTCTCTTTCTCATCCCCTTCCCCTCTCTTGAAAAATAAATAAATAAAATATTTAAAATGCAACTTTAACAGTTTTTATTTATGGTAAATGTGTCTTTTGTTATAAAAAGCTACAGTTAATTTAAATATCTGGCTAATGATCACCAAGGAATCATGGATTCCCCTATGAGCTAAAGTGAAGGTAGTGCATATCCAGTTTGCTCAGGACAATGGCAGTTTACACCTGACCTGATTTTTTTGTGGCACCCCTGTTAGTCTCAAAAGCCTCCCATTTTATGGTCAAGGTGTCAAGGAATTCCTCAAAATTGTGTACCAAATTTTGTATGTTTACATTTTTCTAATGAAAAAGTGATTTAGCCCTGGCTGGTGCAGCTCAGTGGATTGAGCACCAGCCTGCGAACTGGACGGTTGCTGGTTTGATTCCCAGTCAGAGCATGTGCCTGGGTTGCAGGCCTGGTCCCCCGTGAGGAGTACACCAGGGATAACCACACGCTGATGTTTCTCTCCCTTTTTCTCCTCCCTTCCCCTCTCTCTAAAAATAAATAAATAAAATCTTTTAAAAAAGTGATACACACTTCCTTCATGTTTAAAAGAATATGTAAGCCAATAAAAAAAATAAGAACCACTGTCATAACATTTATTATCATTAGTTTTAATTTTATCAGGTATGTAAGACAGTAAGATTTTTCCAAGCCAAAACCAAGACACATAGCTCTATGATAAATTTTGAGTTGCAAACCTTTAGTTATATGTAAACAAACATGATATTCAAGTCTCTGCCTTTTCACTTCTTGGAATGGTAGCCTGTTCTCTCCCATCACAGGCAATTCAACTAATAGCTAAAGCTTTCAACTGACCTGCAACCTTAGAACTATCTGTAAGTATGGGTAGCTTGTGTTTAGTTAGTGGGAGAGAGGCATTAATTATGATTACTTCCACGGATCCATCTATTTATCTAGATATATAGTATGATTTCATATATAAAAATAAAAATGAATGTTTTATATAGTATAGCAAATATCTGAGAAGACAAACACACAAAAATTGTTCTTACTATTCTAAACATATTTCTAATTGCTCTAAACATGGATCTAATTGCTTTAAAAAGTCATCAGTGTCCACAAGGCTCTCTGTCAGTTCTTTTTTTTTTAAGATTTTATTTATTCGTTTATTTATTTGTCTATCTTATAGATGGTAAGGGAGGGAGAAAGAGGAGAAACATCAATATGTGGATGTCTCTCTTGCGCCACCTACTGGGAACCTGGCCTGCAACTCAAGCATGTGCCCTATACTGGGATGGAACCAGCAACCCTTTAATTTGCAGGCTGGCTAACAGTCAGTCCACTGAACAACACCAGTCAGGGTGGCTTTCTGTCAATTCTAAGGATAAACTGGAAATAAATTTTAATTTGCTCTTGTACTCGTTGCTCATAGTGAAATCTGGAGAACTTAGAAATTTTCAGATTGCTTACATGAAAGAGAAGGTGAATTATGCACTTGGCAGGCAGTTTAAGGATGTATCTTGCCTCCATAAACACACCAGAAAAAGGAAAAAAAAAATGTCCAGGAGCTAACAAAACTTTGAAAATATCTTGAAGCTATTTGTAGATTCTTGTGACTTAAATTAGATTCATAAAACCAATCCTAGCATAACTTGATTTCTGCTGAAATGACTACAAATCCAAGATCCACAAGCACAAGTATGGATTTAATGTAAGCTGGGCTCAAATTAGCAGATCAGAAAGAACGTTGCCAAAAATAACACTTCCAGTGTGTTCCGATTTTCAAAGGACTAGCCCCAGATCATATCCCTTGAATTAGCATGTCTATTCCGTATACCTTTCCTCTTAATAACCTATTTGCCTAATTCCACACTATCATTTACAGTTGATTACAGTGGGCACCTATATGTTTGTCTTCCCTGTTTTCCAAACAAAAAAACTATTTTATAGCTAACTCCATTTTTAGACAGCAGATTTGGCTCATGTTGAGATTTTCAAGCTAGGTTGCTGGAGCATTTGGGTATTGCATACATTAATTACTAAGCTGTATATTTATTTATTTTTAATTGAATGTATTGGGGTGACATTGTTTAATAAAATTGTACAGGTTTCAGGGCCACAATTCTATAATACATCATTGGTATATTCTTACTAAGCTCTTTTAAAATTGAAAATATGAAGGTGACCAAATTTATTTCCAACTACCTTTAAAATTTTTTTGATTGATTTTAGAGACAGAGGAAGTGAGAAAAAGAAACATCATTTTGTTGTTCCACTTATTTATCCATTCATTGCTTGATTCTTGTATGTGCCTTGACCAAAGACTGAACCCACAACTTTGGCTTATCAGGACAGTGCTTTAACCACCTGAGCTGCCTGCCAGAGTCCAACTACCTTTTGGGTGAAATAAAAGCAAACCTTATTTAAATACAATATTACTTTAGCAGATTAAAACCTTAAGAGAAATATTTTTAAGAAACAGTTGACATAAGCCCTGGCTTGTCAGTCGATTGCGTGCTGGCCTGCAAACCAAAAGGACACTGGTTCAATTCCCAGTCTGGGCACATGCCTGGGTTGTGGGCTAGGTCCCCAGTAGGGGTGCTCAATAGGAAACCACACATTGATGTTTCTCTCCCTCTCTTTCTCCCTCCCTCCCCCTCTCTCTAAAAATAAATAAAATCTTTTTTTTTTTAAGCAGCAGCTGACATAAGAGGGTTGGAAAGCTACATTAGTATTTTAAAGAGCTTTATTGTAATAATTAAACTTAATTCTAGCCTAGTAAAATTCTAGGTGTGGTTTTCTGCTTAGCTTTCTGCCTAGCTTCAAAAATAAGTTTGCTCTACTTAACTGTTAATTAATTTTTTATAAGTAGCTTACAACTAATGGGACATTCCATTGAAGCATTTTATTAAAGGAAGTTAATTCAATAAACAGATGCTAGTGGTGGTGTTTTATATATTTCTTTATATATATAGATGTATATATATATTGCTCTTAATTATCTGTATTGACAAGGCTTAAGGAGTTCCCAGAAGTTTACAATGTTTAAGGATGAAAGAAAGCTATTAACCATATTCTTGGTACCTTTTCCGGAGGCTTTTGAGTTTTTAGTAAGTCCTAAACTTACTATAAACTTACACGGGAGAGACCTGGTAGGAATGTGACTCGTGGCATAGAATTTACTTTGCAGCCTTGACATCTGCAGCAAAACTGGCTTTTTAATTCTGAATAGACAGTGTGGGCAGGTACTTGAATAAAACTGGTTCATAAATGGTTTATATGTACATTGTTTCCATAAGATGCTACACAAGGTCTGTGTAGCATCTTAAGGAAACACAGGTTTATAAATGCACAGTTCATGAGATTTTTGTGATTACTATTTGCTTTTTAGATTATTGATAAAAGCAAGAGAGACCCAACAGAGGAAATTGAAATTCTTCTTCGTTATGGACAGCATCCAAACATTATTACTCTAAAGGACGTAAGTAGATTCTTTAATATAGACATCTGAATCAGTTGTCTAATTTGCATCTGAAGTATTTTCAAATATCATATGGTAGACAAAGAACTGAATATAGTAAGTAAAAAAAATAGGTTAGAGGATAACATATATAGCACAATTTCAGACATAAAGAAAATATGTTTCCATCATTAATTTTTCTACTTTCTCTATAAGAAGAAAACTATTGACATTATTGCTTTTAATGTTTGCATTCACTGGAACATTTGGGTATTATTTAATATTCAGGATCGACTAGTCTCCACAGTCTATGGACCCCCCAAACTGTTTTTCACAATACTGCCAGGGAGAGCTGCACTGGTATCTAACCATGTCACTTCCCTGCCTGTAGTTCATACCCCTCCTCACCTCTGCTCCCTGCCTTCCTCTATGAATAGTACTGTTCTCACACACCCTGTGCTCCAGCCATGCTCCAGTATGTATAAATTTTTGAACATGCCTCATTTCCTCATGCTGCTCTGTCTTTGACTTTATGGTTCCCTCAGTTGAGAGCACCATTTCCTTTCTTTTTTAAAAAAATTTAATTGTTCAAGTGCATTTTTCTGTCTTTTACTCCCATCCCAGCCAACCCCCCCAGTGCTCCCCACCTCCCTCCCATTTCCACCCTTTTCCTTTTTTACCTGACCAACTACTGCACATCTAAGACTTTGCTAAAGCATTATTTCCTCCAGGAAGCCTGCCTTGCCCATCACCATCCTAAGGACAAGTAAGGTATCCTTTCCCTACTACCTTTGACTTTGATCATAACAGCGCTCTTGGCAAAGGGTTCGAAACCCCCAGGCAGCACTGAGTTCTTTCTTGCTGGTGGTGGTCACATAGACTCACGGGCCATTTGTGGTTGTGGTATACCAGGTGTCACATGGCCAGCTGAGCCAGAGGATTTCTTAAGAACCCTTCACCTTTAAGATGTTGGGAATTCCAAAGTTTACCCTGCCTTCTCCTTCTGAACCAAAACTCCAGTTTCTTCAGATTAATTTATCACTGCTCATTGTTACAAGGGAAATGTTAGTTTAGTCCCATTAGAATGTGAAGCTCTTCAACCTAAGTGACTTTTTAGTTCATATAACCTTCAAGAATCCAACCAATAAATTAAAAAGGAAATGTAAAAAACACTTTCTCTCATTTTTGCCTTGGAAACTTCCTAAGCTGTTGTCATTTTTCACATCTTTGCTCCTTCCCTCATTTCAAATTCCAAAGTCTCTAAAATTTTCCCCACTTTTATTACAGTATCTCCAGTAGTTTTAAAATTCTTGTATCTATGTCTCTTTTCTCCCTACTGAAATAAAAAACTTTTGCCCTGGCTGATCTGGCTCAGTGGAATGAGTGCAGGCCTGCGAACCAAAGTATTACTGGTTTGATTCTCGGTCAGGCCACATGCCTGGGTTGCAGGCCAGGTCCCCAGTATGGGGCATGTGAGAGGCAACCACACATTGATGTATCTCTCCCTCTCTCCTTCCCCTCTCTCTAAAAATAAAAAAAAAACAAATAAAATGTTTTTAAAATTTTCAGGGCAACTACTTTGTTTTTTCCATATTTGGCACCCTGGTACATGGTACCTCTTTTGGAGCTAAATAAAGATGTACAGTAATTCTAGTGAAGAGGGAATAGAAGAGACTGAAATGTAATAAAGGTGTTATTTCAGTTCAGGATTGCCTGGAATATAAAATCCCAAATTACAGTGAGCACTTTCTGCAGTAGGAGTAAACTGGTGTGCTTCTGGGTGATTGGATGGAATTTCTCTCTGCTGCTTAATCTTCCTACTTAATTTTTGCCACAACTTGACTTTCAGTTTAACCAGAACCAGAATAATTCACTGTACTATGTATATAACTATGGAATTTCTGCAATTGCAGAAGTTCCAGGAAAATCACAGGAGTATGTCTTTGTACTATTGCCTGCCCTCAGCAGAAGATAGAAAGATCAAGAGGAACAGACCTTAACTGCAAGAGTTTAGTGCCTCTTTGTATACAATGCCCATAGTTTCTTCACAGGAAGAAATTACAGGTCATTTTTCTGACATTCAGTCTCCTCAGTTTCTATTTTAATATCTTTATGTGTTTAAAACTGCAGGATTTATATCCTCCATTGGTTGTGATAAGTAAAATTTTCCTTGAGTATAAAGTAAGTTTTACTTTCTCTTTAATATGCAAAACTTTGTTCTGAACACATGTAGAGCTTCAAATAATTTTTTTCCATTTTTGTGTTGAATTTTATAGGTATATGATGATGGAAAGTATGTGTATGTCGTGACAGAACTTATGAAAGGGGGCGAATTGCTGGATAAAATTCTTAGACAGAAATTTTTCTCTGAACGAGAGGCCAGCGCTGTCCTGTTTACTATAACCAAGACTGTTGAATATCTTCATGCACAAGGGGTAAGTCTTTTTAACATTTTATATATATAAAATAAATATATGTATATAAATTTATGTACATGTATACATACACACACACACAAACACCCTTTTTTCTATCTTCATGTTTGAGCTAAAATTACAAAGGTAGAGGGGTTACTTTATGCACATAATGGAAAATAACTACTATTAGCTCAATTATCCCACTATTCTTCCTCTATGTAAACATCTTCCATTATGCTTGAAGTGCTGCTTTGAAACCCTAGCTAGTTTATGTTAAATTCTTATACTTCCAAGAAAAAAAGGGGTGAGATCTTTTGAACTGGAAGTCACAGCATCGTTTTGCCGGGCCACTCTGTACTCTTGGGAAATGTGCCCATTTAAACTTTAGAAACTGAACCACAGAATCATGGGGTTGCATTCACTTATAAGAGGAATTTCTTCAAACGGATGAGGCCGGATAGTCACCTGGCTTCTGGCTGGTGAATGCCAGCCCTCTCATTTCTTCCTGCAAGTTATTAGTGAATAGTTAAAAAAAAATTGTGTTTGTTAAAAAAAAGGAAAGTCTGAGAGGGAACAAAGGCAAAAGAAGAAAATGGAGGGAGGGAGGGAGGAAAGGAAAACAGAGGTGAAGAGGAACAAGAAGCAAGAAAAAAATAGATTACTTCTTAAGGAGTTTATTTTCAATACTTATTCTTGTTTTGTTTGTCTTTGCCCCTAGAAGTTAACAGTGGACTGTTTTGATTTAATTCTAGAGCTTCTTGACTTCTAGCTGTTCAAGAGTCACCTAGTACTATGTACCCAGAAATTAGTCAACTCAGCGTTTATGACTTTGCAGTTATCTGTGTCTTCTATGTTCTTTTCTCAATGTTTCCACAATAATAAGTTATTAAAATGGTCTGGAGAAGTCACATTTAGGATGTTAGGAACTAAAACTGAAGTGACTGATCAGAATATAGACTCAGAATTTGGTGATGGAAGAAACACATAAGTCTATTAAGGAGTGTCAGAGAGGCTTATGACAAAAGTATTCAAGTAGGTGATTAAAGGAGAAAAATAATACAAAACTCTGAAGGAATGGTATCTTTGTGTGTGTGTGTGTGTGTGTGTGTGTGTGTGTGTGTGTGTGTGTGTGTGTCATTGTTGCACGGGTATCAAATAGGCATTACATAAAGTCTGGATATTTTTTTTTCCTTTTTGCTCCTAAATCCCATGCCTAATCCTTTGAGCCTGCCAGTATAAGTTTGTTGTGTACATCCATTGTCCTTGTTGCTCCCTCTACTTAGAATGACTGTCTCCCACTGTTTGGCTTGTTCATTCTGTTCTAAAGGTCTTAGATCAGATGTCACCTCCTCTACAGACCTTCCCTGACATCCCTAGTTGTGCACCATCTCTCAACTGTTCATTCTCTAACTCCCCACTACCTTGTAAGCTCCTAGCGTGCAAAGGCAAGGATCTTATGGGTCTCGCTCACCATAGTTTCTGCAGCTCCTTATGTAATATAGGCACTCAATAAATATTTGTGTAATGAATGTATAACCTGGAGACAGATATTATTGCTGTTTGCACATCTCCTTAACTCACTTACTCAGTTGGATAAAGAGGGGGAAAGTAACTACTATTCTTTCTTACTCCTCTCTTTGCTCCAGTTCTGTGTTAAGAGAACTTTTATACTTACATTGTCAGCGTTTTATAAAGTTGGGATACTTTAAAGGTCAGCACTCATTATCTAGTTAAGTGCATTGCCTGACAGTTTTGAATAAAGAATTTTCTATAATGGAAATATGTTGTAAATGTACCTCTTTACTTTGTAGGTGGTTCACAGAGACTTGAAACCTAGCAATATTCTTTATGTGGATGAATCTGGCAATCCAGAATCTATTCGAATTTGTGATTTTGGCTTTGCCAAGCAGCTGAGAGCAGAAAATGGCCTTCTCATGACACCTTGTTACACTGCAAATTTTGTTGCACCAGAGGTAATTATGAAATAGTTTCCTTGGAGTATTTCAGTACATTTAAAAATTTGTTTGTGGTGTTTAATATAGAATAATTAATAGCTATTTAACTGAAGACTTACTGAACAAATAATTTAAATGGCTCCCCTTTTCTTCTGTTAATACTGTAGTTCATTCTGTCATCAGTCTGCTACTACCTGTAATCCTCACGCTCCCCTGACTTGTGTCTTTCCGCATAATGAGACATCTATAGCTGTCTATTATCACTAACAATAATGTGCATGTTGGTGCATGGAATTACATGGAAACCAGCTTATTTTCCACCTTCCCTAATATCCTTTTCATTTCCTGGGTTTGTTACTATCTTCCTGTATCTCCAAGGCTAGAACATCATAGTCTCTTCTTGTCTTTAGCTACATAAATGGTAACTATCTTTGTTATCCCCCCAAAGCAGTACAGGGTTCTTCTGTCCACAGAACTGCTATCCTAGCCCCTGTTTCCATCACCTCACCCCAGGTGACCCCCTAGGTGCGTGCACATTGCATTCTCTTGTCATTCTGCGGTCCAGCCATCTCATTTTTCCTTGTGAGTATTTCTTACTTCATGCAAGTAATCTGCTTCTAGAAGTCACCGTGTAGCTGTTATGCCTTGGCCCATTGGAATGTTTTTTTGCTTCAAAGCCTACCTCCAAATTCATCTTCAGGATATCCACGATTAAAGTCTCCTTAGACTTGATCTTTTCATTTTTTGTCTCCTAGTCTCCATTTAGTCATCCCAGTCCAGATTTTTACATCTTCCTGAAATCCTCCCTATCTTTTATTTTACATCCAGTCTGTCACTAAATCCTTTCCATTTTGTTTTCTAAATATTTTAGACCCTTTCCCCTATATATTCAGTCCCTACTAGAGCAGGTCCTTATAGCCTTTCACTTAGTTTCCTACAAATTGCTTTCTATCAGGTGTCCTTGTCTCCACTCACTCTTCTTGCCAGCATTTGCTCTATACCTTGAGTTACAATATGTTTCTGGTACGCACGTCTACTGCTTTTGTTTTCCTGTTAAATGCTTCAGTGACATCTGATTGCCTACAGGAAAAAAAATCTAAATTCCTTAACAACATGTGTATAAAAGCCATTGAGTCTCTCTAGTATTTCCTACCTGGAGATCTGACCATGCAAAACTGTTGCTAACTAATCCTATGCTCTGCTCTCTTGCTTCTGCCCTCCCCTACCTCCTCCCTTTGCCTCCTGAATTCTTACTTCTAGGAACAGTACAAACAGGATGTCCTCTGGCTTTCCTTCTTTCCTCATATCAGGAATGTATTACTTCCTCATCATTATACCCATAGTACTTTAGACATAATTTTATGAGACTTAACATGTTCCCTTGTTAACTGTATATATAGGGTGGGGCAAAAGTAGGTTTACAGTTATGAGTATGCAAAACAGTTTATTTTTGTTGTTGTTTATTAATCATTGTATTATTTTCCATACAAACAACTATAGACCTAATTTTGTCTCTGTCCTGTATATTTATTTCTCCTGCCAGATTCTGATTTTCTTAAGGAAACCTGAGTTGTTTTGTATTTCTCAAAGTTCATGCCTGGTTATAATTGGTCATTATTAAATGTTTGAGTGAATCAAATTATATATATAAAAATACAGTTTAACACTACATCATTTGTACTGTTATATGCATTCTTAAAAGTATCTGATTTTATGTAACTATTTCTGCAACCCCATACAAAATACACATTCATTTATCAATAGATAGGAAATTTACCTTCAATTTATTTTATAGTCCTTTATGTGCCAAGGAAGCATTCAATAAATGTTCATTCAAATACCAAAATTTATGTATATATGAGTTGTTAGAAGGTTCTAGAATAGGATTAATATATTATGTTTTTTAAATAATTTTGAAATATTTTTTAAAGGTTTTATTTATTCAATTTAGAAGGGAAAAGAGGGAGAAAAACATCAGTGTGTGGTTGCCTCTCGCGCGTCCCCTACTGGGGACCTGGCCCACAACCCAGGCATGTGCCCTGACTGGGAATCGAATCAGTGACCCTTTGGTTTACAGGCAGGCACTCAATCCACTGAGCCATACCAGCCAGGGCTGTATTATCTTTTTTATTGTATTTTTTCCAATATATTGTTTTGTTTGTTAATTGTCTTCTGTAGATCATTTTCTTATATGCATTGACTTAGGAGATATAATTCCATTCCCACAACCTATGTAAATCTATATGATAAACAGTGGTGTGTTAATACTAAGTTTTACATTTTCCAGGTTTTAAAACGACAAGGTTATGATGCTGCTTGTGACATATGGAGTCTTGGTGTCCTCCTCTATACAATGCTTACTGGGTAAGCGTATACTATATGTTGCAAGCATTTATTTATCAGTGTTTTGTTTATATTATTTAGGTTTATTTCAAAATTTTTGTTCTAATATCTTTTCATGTTTCTCATTTTCTAATAATACATCATGTGCATGCATGCATACACTACATTTATACCTCTATCATTACTAATTTTCTATAATGTACTATTTATTAGTGTCATAAAGTCTTAAGTGGATTTTTCTGTAAGTCTAATTAATATTTCATAACATACCTCGATCTGATGTTTTATGGAACTTCATGTTGATAGTTTTTACTTTAAATGAAGTATTATATTAATTTAATCACTCAGAATACTTTTTGGGCACTGAAAGTAAATAGAAAGATTACCAATCAACAAAGAAATTTTATTCATTGATATTTTAATTTTATTATAAATTAGTTACACTCCATTTGCAAATGGTCCTGATGATACACCAGAGGAAATATTGGCACGCATCGGCAGCGGAAAATTCTCTCTCAGTGGTGGTTACTGGAATTCTGTTTCAGATACAGCTAAGGTAATTTTTCATAATCCTTGTTGGGAATAAATAATATCAGCTAGAAACTTGTTCATAAAGTAGTATTTTGAAGTGATGTTACCAAATAACTTGAACTCAAATGTGGACCAATTTTTTTCTTTCCCAAAGGCATCGGTTTGGCTTCAATAGCCATACATGCTTTAGATGCATACATCCTTTAGATATATAGATAACATATTTATCATGAGGAATATAATAAACAATAATAGTGGTAGTCTTCATGATTTGTATGTCTATGCTGTGCTTCTTGCTGCACTTCACCTAAATTATCCATTTAATCCTCTTAACAACCCTGTGAAATAGGTGGTATTATCCCCATTCACAGAAGGAAACCAAGGCCCAGAATTGTAGTGTGAACTTGTCCATCACTACACCCCAGATATATGTGGGTGCTTCAAGCTAAATAGCTGATTCCAAAGCCCCAGGTCCCTAGAATAACTGTACCATGTTTTACTTTTGGTCCATATTATAAAGACAAGGGTTTTATGTTTTTCACAATAAATAGTAGCATAGTTAGAGTATCAGGTTGAAATCCATTTGAAAAGCCTTTCTCACTGGAAGACCTGCCATCCCCTGAATGGCACTGATTTGCTTTCTACCTCAACTTTAGTTTCACTCTATTCATTGAAAATTCTTTTAACTTACACGACTCCACTCTAGGAAGACATCTAACCCAATTAAAAAATGGGAAAAGGACTTGAACAGACACTTCTCCAAAGGGCACATACAGAATATCCAGAGACACATGAAGAGATGCTCAATATCGTTAGCTATTAGAGAGATGCAAATTAAAATCACAATGAGATACCACTTTACACCAGTCAGGATGGCTATCATAAACAAAGCAACAAACAACAAATGTTGGAGAGGTTGTGGGGAAAAGGGGACCTTAGTTCACTGTTGGTGGGATTGCAGACTGGTACAACCTTTATGGAAAACAGTATGGACTTTTCTCAGAAAAATAAAAATCGACCTGCCTTTTGACCCAGCAATTCCACTGCTAGGATTATATCCCAAGATTCCTAAAACATCAGTTTCAAAGAACCTATGCACCACAATGTTCATAGCAGCACAATTTACAATAGCCAAGAGTTGGAAGCAACCTAGGTGCCCATCAGTAAATGAATGGATCAAAAAATTGTGGTACATATACACAATAGAATTCTATGCAGCAGAGAGAAAGAAGGAGCTACTACCCTTTGCAACAACATGGATGGAACTGGAAAGCATTATGCTGAGTGAAATAGGCCAGGTGTTGAAAGACAAATACCATATGATCTCACCTTTAACAGGAAGCTAAACAACAAAACAAATAAGCAAACAGAATAAAAACAAAGACACTGAAATAGAGAACGAGTGGGCAGTGACCAGAGGGGAGAGAGAAGGGAATTTAAGGGGAAAAATGGGGGAGGGATTTCGAGGAACAAGTATGAAAGACACAGGGATGAGGACTGGGGGCGGGGAAATGGGAGGGAGGTGGGGAGACCTGGCGGGGGGGGGGGCTGGGATGGGAGAAATAGACAAAAAAATGTACTTGAAAAATAATTAAATAAAAATTTTAAAAAATCAGAAAAGTAAACCCAAATATGAAATGCAAAAGTTTATTCAAAATGTAAAAAAAAAATTCTCTTTTTTCCACTTCAATGTAAGAAAGACATAGAGGAAATGAAGAAGATACATACTGGTAAAAGTGCTTACTGATTTTTCTTAGGGATGGAAACTTGAGTTGCTGTGATTGCATAAGTAAATAGGGTATGGCAAAATTTATGTAGATACTTTTGGCCTCAGCTAATCTGCTTAATGTCTATGTAGATAATGTTTTGTCTTATAACTGCATTTAAAATGAAATGTTAGCCTTTCCTTGTTTAACGGTAAAATTTATTAAACCAGATCATTCATTTTTTAGGTACTTGTTTCCTCTTTAACTCATCTGTTGAGCACCTACAATGTGTTTCATAAGGGAAGGCCCCAGAGATAAAAGATACGACTCCGAATTCCTGATCTCAGGGACCTCACAGGCTAGTTGGGAAATGGCCAAGTAGTGTCACATATGCTGCTACGGTAGTACGTTTTCTGTGCTTAAGAAGTTCACAGGTGATGCTTGGTGAGAAAGATTACAAGGAAAGTTTTCCAGAAGCAATGAAGGGGTTTTCCAGGTAGCTTTGGAGAACAGAAGGATGTAGTCCTCAGCGTGTGCTGAGGGATTAGCACACGCTGTTCATGGTCATGATGGCATAGGAAGGGCAGAACATCTCCAGGGAGCTGCAGGTTGCTTGTTATGACTAGTACAGGGTGCAGTGTAAGAGGGTCACTGACGAATCCAGATTATGAAAGGCTTTCTAGGTCATGCTCATGATTTGGTGTTCACTCTAGGTATTGGGGAACTATTGAAAAATATGAAGCATTATAGTGATCAGATTTTCCTGTTTCAAGTTCACTCTGTGGAACAGTTATTTTTACCCATATAGTTTGCCACAAACTGTCATGATTGATTGTGGGGCATATCAAGTAATGTTACCAAGTGAAGTATCAGAGCTTAGCTATTGCCTGCTTTTTAATAAGTTAAAGTAAGTCAAGGCTATATCTCTCTAATTTCTATCATTTGGTTCTTATTCACTTGAATTCCAGTATGCTTTTTTGAGTGAAAGAGAAACACACGTCAGAAAGATATACAACTAGAGCACAAAAATTACATCCATTTCACTGCCTGTCTTATAAATGGCCAGCCATATTATTACTTATAATTTTTGCAAATTTGTCCAGTTAAGACTTGCGATTACAAGCATGATGTAATATATAGTGAATGCCCACAAAATTGAGAGAGAAGACTGTCAATATGGTGCGTCCCCTCGAGAGCAAATTGCGCATGTGACTGTCATCAAGCATATGAACCATATGTGGCTTTGACAAGAATGGGACCATAGCTACCATTTTGAGCACTTATGTGCCATGGACTGTGCTGACACTTTTTACCTACATTATTTCATTCAGTCTTCACTGACCCAATATTAGGGCCATTACACATGAGGTTTTGCAGTATTTCAGGTCGTGAATGATGAATATCTAAACCAGAACAGTTGTGGTGGGATTTGAGCCACACAGAAGACAAATTTAGGAGGCAGAATAAACTGGTGTATTGAACATAAAAAGCAAAGGGGAGGCAGATGTCAGGTGTGCAGTCCACATTTCCACCTCTGGCAAATGAGTGGGTGATAGTGTCCTTCACCAAGCTGTGGAATACAAAAGAAGTAGTTTTGATAGGAGTGGTGATTGCACATTTGGACATTACGAATTTGAAATGTTTCCATGATGTATAATTAAGATCTGGATGTCCACCAAGCAACTGGCTTAGATCTTAGCAGCAAAGTCTATGGTAGACACTGAAATTAGGACTTGTCATCATCCGTAGTAGCTAGGGCCGTGAGCATGAATGAGCTTTTCTGAGCAGAGCGAAAAGAGAGCCATGGGAGGAATTCAGGGAGTATACCACTATTTAGAGAGAAAACTTAGGAGGAGTAGCCATTGAAGGGTAGCAGTAGCAGAAGTGATTTTAAGTGACTTGGCCAAAAGTACACTGGTTAACATGCAGATCTGATTAAAATTATAAGAGTTGTGTTGTACCTCAGGGCAGTTTTGCATCCTTTTCTTCATTTAAAGCAGCACATTTGCCCACATTCAGAATTTGGAAGAGGAGGTCCCTAATTGTTTTGCTTTTTATTTCTAATTCTTCTGTTCAGTTACTCCTGTTCTCAGCTGTTAATGTTAACTAAAAGTAAGAAACTATAAATATCTAATAGCAGAGGAGTACTTGGAATAACACCTCCCCAATTCCAAATATCCAGTCAACCACCAGGTTCTGTCAGTTCTTTCTCTTAAGTATCTCAATTCTATCCATATTTCTTCATCTTTTATACCCACCTCCCCAAACTGTCATCTCTCACCAGTCTCAAATTGGAGTCTCCAGGTTTGCCCCCTCTGATACATTTTTCTCCACACCTAGTGAGTGTAATCTCTCAAGTACAAGCCTGACCATATCACTCCCTTGCTTTAAATGATACGTTGCCTCCAGAAAAAGTCCAAATTTGCTAATATGGCTTATAAGGGCCTTTCACAGTCTGATCCTTTCTTACCTCTGCCACTTTATCTGCTGTTACGCCCTTCACAATATATGCTTGCAGCCATATTACATTTCTTTTAGTTCTTGAATGGGACATGTTCTCTCCCACCTGAGGGCTTTCCCTCAAATACACTTTGCTCCATCTTCTTGAAATGCTCGGTTTCTCCCTTCCTTCTCTAGTCCAGCTCCTGCTTCTCCTTCGGGTCTCATTTTCCTAAAGGTGTCACTTCAAAGCCACCCTACCCTGTTCAGGTCATATTTCTCTCTGTGTTCCTCCAGCTGTACCTCACATTTATTCATTCCATCAAATAACTTACTATTTGCTTTGAAATTAATTCCTTCACAGGGTTGAAAGCCTCCTGAGGTCACAGTTCCTTTCTGTTTTCTTCACTGTTGAATACCCAATGCCTAGCATAATGGCTTTTAATGGATATTCAGTAGATATGTTTTGAGTGAAACAGGTGGTACATGGCTTCTAGAAATCACAATTGTGTTTTATTGGAGAGTATAAAACTATTATATAGCAATTATATGGATCTATGTTTCATGAATAGCAAAACATTTGGATAATAGAAAGCTTTTGTCTCTGGAAGAGTAGGATTCTGGGTGTTCTTTATATTCTTTTGTTTCTCTCTGTATTTCTGATTTTTCTGTAATGCCCACAAGTTGCTTATGAAGTAGAAAAAATAGAATTCTGTAATCCTGGGAGAGGCATTTAGAACTCTCCAATTAAATTTCTATAATTGGGCAATTCTGCGTTTCAGTATTATCAGCAGCACAAAAGTCTTAAGTGGCTAAAAATTGCTTAGAAATAAGCCTACAGAAATGTGGAAACCTTAGAATATCAAAGGGGAAAAAAAGAGCAAAAAAACCCAAAAGATACATAAAATATGGTAATTCACCCTTCATAATGCACCAAAATTAATGTTACTCAGGGAAGAGAGACTTAGGTTTTTCCTTTCTCTTTTTTTTTTTAAACAAATGGTCACATTGACCAAATTGGTTTGAGCCTAAAGATCTACCTACTGTGAGGAAAAAATAGTGTCATAGGAAGGAAAAATGCTCAACAGTATCTAATGCTATAAAAAAAAACAAAAAGGTTTAAGCTTGTTTTATTACTACTCTTCCCATTACAGGACCTGGTGTCAAAGATGCTTCACGTGGACCCTCATCAGAGATTGACTGCTGCCCTCGTGCTCAGACACCCTTGGATAGTCCACTGGGACCAACTGCCGCAATACCAACTGAACAGACAGGACGCACCACATCTGGTCAAGGTGAGCAGCCCCATTCAGGCCCGGTTTTCCACATGTCCACCAGCCCCTTTCCCTTTCACTTTCCTTCAGCCTGCATCCAGTTTTCCTGTGGGAGTCTCTTATATAATGGGTTATTTGCGGGGTGGGGGGGGGGGCGGGGTAAGCCGTGCCAAAGTATTATAATAAATCTAGTTTAAGAATGACTTCTAAGCCCTGGCTGGTGTAGCTCAGTGGATTGAGTGCGGGCCTGCGAACCACACGTTGCGGTTCAATTCCCAGTCAGGGCACATGCCTAGGTTGCAGGCCGGTTCCCTGCAGGCCAGTTCCCAGCAGGGGACGCACAAAGGGCAACCATACATTGATGTTTCTCTCCCTCTCTCCTTCCCTTCCCCTCTAAAGATAAATGAATAATAATAATAATAAAATCTTTTTTAAAATTATATTAAAAAAAAGACTTGTAAATTTCTTTTTTTTTTCTTTATTCTTTTTTTTTTAATATTAAATTTTATTTAGTTACTTTTCAAGTACATTTTTTTTAATCTATTTCTCCCATCCCACCCCCCCCCCGCCCGGTCTCCCCCTCCCTCCCATTTCCCCCCCCCCCCAGTCCTCATCTCTGTGTCTTTCATACTTGTTCCTCAAAATCCCTCCCCCTTTTTCCCCTTAAGTTCCCTTCCCTCTCCCCTCTGGTCGCTGCCCACTTGTTCTCTATTTCAGTGTCTTTGTTTTTTTTCTGTTTGCTTGTTTGTTTGACTTGTAAAATTCTGAATTTATGCATAAGTTTATGGATTTCCTATTTTCTTTTTTTAAATGTATTTCACAATTTTTAACAGATTTTATTGATTCATTTTTAGAGAGAGGGAGAGAAACATCAATGTACAAGAGATACATCGATCAGTTGCCTCTCACACGCCCCCCAACTGGGGACCTGCAACCCAAGCATGTGCGCTGACTATGAATTGAACCAGCGACCTTTTGGTTTGCAGGCCAGCACTCCACCCACTGAGCCACACCAGCAATGGCGGATCTCTTATTTTCTTTATACTTTCCTTTTTTTATGCACAACCCAAAGCAAACTACAAATTCCAAAAGAGCATAATTTGCTGCCTCTTAGATTAAAAGACTACCAAGGAAAATAAGTGGAATAGTCCTGAGAAAAGTGAGGACTGCTTGTTATGAGCCTATCCCTGTCTTCTCTTACCCAACATTTCAACCTTCACGTGCGCCTCTTCAATTTTAGTTGAGTGTTTTGGCCAGTGTGGTTATTTTCATCATGAGCTTAATAATATTTACATAAAGTTGCTATTAAAGAAATTATTTGGGGGAAAATATTCATTTCATGTTCTGTGTATGTGACTACTCATTGTCATTTTTGTTTTGACCTTTCCTATTTTCAGGGTGCCATGGCAGCTACATATTCAGCTCTAAACCGTAATCAGTCACCAGTTTTGGAACCAGTGGGCCGCTCTACTCTTGCTCAGCGGAGAGGTATTAAAAAAATCACCTCCACAGCCCTGTGAAGTGACCTCAGTGAGATATTTGGTACCATGGTGTAAGCTGATAGCACAAGTTGTGGCAACAGGTAGCACATATCTGAGAGACACCTGCAAGCACACACTGTCCCAGCTGGTACCCATAATGCTGCTGCTCCTGCTGCTGCTCCTGCTTTCGTCTCTTCTCGCTTTACATGATTGTTAGCAAGTTAGATTTTCCTGGAGCTTCGGATGTGATGATGATGGAAACATGACGAAGATATATTCACTGAATCAATAAGAAGATTAACGAACATACGAATACCACCTAAAAATACACTGAATAAAGTACTTTACACCATATAGCATTATTTTTATAGGAAATATTTCATGTTCCTTAAATATTCTTTGTTAGTTATAGGGATGGACAGTTTATGTTAAGCACTTAGCTTAAACAATCCGTTTATATTAGCACTGTATCCCTTGTGCCATCCAACATTTTGTATGTTTTTGTAAACAGTTCATATACAGTACATTTCTGTACTGCTTTCTTTAATGTATACATGCCTTGTTTAACTTGGATTCTATTATTATTAATCAGTTGACTATTAAATCTGGTTAAATAGTTCACCTGTATTAACAGTATTGTTGGACAGCCCTAAAAATGGCCAGATTGTGGAACAGCTGTTGAATGTAATGCTTCCAAAATGTACATATCTTTCCCTTTGTCTGTTTCACTGGTTCATTCATTCATTTGTTACTTAAAGCCAGGTGCTCTGTCAGGCTATCCTAGAGAGCTCTTAACAGTAGAGAAAGTTACATGTCTGTGGCATGACATCAAGAGTACACCTATGAAGTTTGTCTTTATACTTTGCAACTCTTTAGGGTTCTTTGCTCTTAAATTAAGGAAATAGTTCTTACACTTTTAATCTTCCATAGTGTCCATACTTAGTATTGGCATATAATTTGGAATTTTGCCAATATACATCAAAGACCTTTTGAGAGTCATGGTGAAGAGACTGGCAAGGGAAAATTTAGCCACAGGTCATTTAAGTCCCATTGGATATTTCATGTTTAAATAGATCAAATTGCAGAATTTAGCATCCGAATAACAGGATACCTGTTATTGCATACCTATGAGAAAAGTATGCTTTTTTTTTTTGAAAAATGGTAAATCATAATTTTTTCCCATTACAATGCTCTAAATTAAACACTAACTTGAATGTAATAAAAGCCACTGGCCTCTATATAAAATTTGATTAAAACTTTCTTATTTTAGGGAATAAAACATTGTTGATCAATCTCTGTGCTAACCTAAAATCACAGCTAAGGTAGGTTAAGTGAATGTCTAGCATTGAGTGTTTTCTGAAATCCTCCTAATGATTTATAGCCATGTAATACTTCCTTTAACTTCAGATACAATCAGTTTTCATGATGGTCACTGAGTCTGCCTAGATTACCGTACTCATTATATACATCTAATGTGATAGTTTCCATAATTTTATTTGATTAAAGGAATTTCTGTATCCATTATGACCTGTATCTTTGCCAAGTTACCTAGCATACGTCAATATGTAATGTGAAAAACAGATGAGCAAAGAAAAAGTGATTTTACTTACCTCATCAGGAATATGCCCAAACCTATCTTCCTTAGTCATGAACTAAGCCATTTACATCAGAAGTCCTTTTTCAACTTCCAGAAGCTTTAAATCTTGCCCCTGAAAGCACAGAGCCAAGGAAGTGTGGTTTATCTGTCTTGGAACATACTTGTTATTCCTTCATTTCTTCTCTATGCATTTAAAGAGAAAGGGAAAATCAAATGTAAGTTTATCTTCTTTAAAAAAATGTACAAGAGGAGGGATTTCAGAAGATCCAGATGGAGAAAGTTTTTTTAAATTCTTGAATATATGGAATATACATATGCTTTCTATTGCCTGGAAAGAAAGCTTTTTTTCTTTTTTTCTTCTATTATTCAGTGTTTTAAACCACAGTTATCCCAAATCCTTGTCACTTTTAAAATGTTAATGTAACTCTGGGCATATAGTCTCAGATTTTTGACACTGATGCTATTTCATAATTGCTTAGGTGTATTTTCTATCGTAATTTTTTAGAACCAGAAGTAAATGTGTAAATCCTCATAAGTTATCTAGTCCAACTTTCTCATACTGCAGGTAAAGAACCTGTGACTCAAAGCAAAGACTAGAATCCTTAACTTCCCATTCAGTGTTTTCCCCATAACACCATGCTGCCTTCCCTTCACGTTATCACCCAACCAGAAGCTGAGTTGATCAAAACTTACATATTTCTTGGGACACTCCTCTACTGGTATATGAATGCCAAGTTTATTGCTCCCAAAGATACTGCTTTCTTTGCCTAGTTCAACTGCCAGTTTTATTGGAGAGAAACAAATTATATATTTATAAAACTGAAGGCTTTCTGCCTAAAAAGCTGTTCATGAGCTCAATTTTTCTTATCTGTGGTTCTGGTGTTGCTATTGCCTTTGACTTACAGCAGACAAACTTGGCCAACTATGTGTTCTAACTGTAGTGCTCGTGCTGGGTTAACCTTTCCATTAACTCAAGTCCAAATCTTCCAGGCCTCTAAAGCTGTGGTGGTGAGGCCCTTCACCAGGTAGTGTTGCTGGTTACCAGGGCTTCTCCCAGGAGGTTTTAGTTCAGGCTTAAAGATAATTTCCATGTGAAAGAAGGAACTGAAGTACCATTAGTTCATTCACAAACCTCCTCTTAGTTTATAATCCAAAATAATATCCAAAATGGTAGATTGCATTTAGCATTACAGTGGGCATACTGGAAAATACAGGTTATACCACCATGTGTTTTGTATCTTTCCTTGCAAGTGATGATGTTAAACTAAGGTAAGTTTTTGTCCTTTTAATTTTTTTCTATAAATTATTTCCACTTCTAATTTATAGAGATGTCTTCTTTCAAAGCACAGTAGACCCTTGTCTTTAACAGATTTGATATGGATTCATTTAGTCACAAGCAACCCCAAAAATCCAAAAATGTAATCATTTTGACAAGGCAGAGCTGAGATGCTGTGAAGCTGCCAGCTGGGAAAAGTCACTTAGCGAGTGTCTGGAGAGGGTGTGTGTATGGCAGAGATTCCACATTTCACATGTGGGGGGCTGCAAAGAGCCGGTTTGGGTCAACCGTTTCCCATCTATTTTTAAAAAGTGGTTGCTGTTGGGGCCAAGGCACATCATGGGAGGTGGGATTGGCTTGGTAGCTGTGCCCTGCACTCTTGGCCCAGGAAAGACTTGAAGGGGGAGAGGGGTGCAAAGGCTTCACAAGTAGGCATAGTAGTTTGGGTAGGAAAGGGGCTGGGGTCCAGCCTGGGATGAAAGCAGAAAAACATTCAAGATTTGGCAGCCTTGGTATAGACATGCTTAATCACCATGGAAGCCAGCAATACACATCTCAACATGGCTTTGATATTCTCTACTTCCTGGCCTTTATAAATGTCCTAAAAATTTTCAGTTTACTATATTTTATAAAGAAAATCCTCTTATGATGATATCAAGCATTTAACATTTATGAAGACGTTAGGACAGATATCTCAGGAATGTGAAGGTCAGAAAAGGTTTGTTTTCTTTCCCTGGTTTGTGTGGCTCAGTAGATTGAGTGCTGACCTGTGAACCAAAGGGTTGCCAGTTCAATTCCCAATCAGGGCACAGGACTGGGTTGCCGGCCAGGTCCCCAATAGGGGGTACACAAGAGGCAACCACACATAGATGTTTCTCTCCCTCTCTTTCTTCCTCCCTTTCCCTCTCTCTAAAAATAAATAAATAAAACCTTAAAGCCAGGGTTGCAAACTGGTGGCTCAGACCTGAATCCTGAAAAAGTTTTAGGAAAAAGAAAAGGTCTGTTTTCTCTATCACATATGGGTTTCATGACTGACCCTTGGTGCTTAAACCAGGAGGTTTCAATCTAGTCCCAGAGTTCTGTCCCTCTGAAAGGTCCAACTCCATGTGACTAACAAACTGGATGTATATTTTGAGCCTTATTTAATTCACAGAGAGGTTGACTTAACTCAGTATTTTTATTTCAGTAAATGAAAATAGTCCTCTTTTCACCTCCAGATTGCTTAACATTTTGCTGGTCTCCCCAAGTGACCATTGGTGGGGACCAATTAATGAAGGAATGAAATTCGCTTTCTTGGGACTGTGGTATTCTGAAGAGCCATGCTTAACCACTTTTTCTAGTGAAGAATCTACAGAATGATAATACCTAAATATGGATGGCCAAGAAGAGTTTGTTATCTACAGTGTGCTTTATGTATTTTTGACACTGCTGTATTCTATGTGATCGAGTGACTTGTAACTGGTTCCAATGTGAGTGTCCTCAAAGAATTCTAGTAATGAAGTTGACTTAATTCTCTTAAGCCTTGTATTACTATTAGTCTCACATTTACCACTGATTCCAGTCTATTAACTGTTCATAACAGGGCATACCAAGGGTTGGGATAAGAGCCTACTTCCTACCTCTTAAGGCACTTTCCTCATTATTTTTCCATGTAACCTTGAAGTGCATGATAAGCTGTTGAAATGTCCATGACTTCTCCCAATGCAACTAGCAAAGTATATGACATTGAATAGAGATTAGTGGAAAGGAAAATTTAGAGACTAAGTTCAGAAGCGCAAACCTCAAGAAAACCTCTTTTAGAGCACATACCATTTGAGTACAATATACATAAATGTATGTGAGAAGAGAGTTGCTGTAATAGTCCTCAAAGTAGATTAGTTCATTATCTAAAGGAAGTGAAAATCTTTACTCCTATTATCACTATAGTACTGAATGAACTGTATACTGGGTTTTTCAAACAAGTATTTAAAATAGAACTTTTAAATACAAAGCAAGGGCATAAGGATAAAGGTTTGAGTTTGTGTTTTTCTATATTGTTTCATCTAAAGCTTTGTTTCTTAATCAAAAAATGCTTCAAGGTATCGCCATTTCTTAGCATCCTTAATAATTATGGGTGATGAGTTTTTAATTCTTAAAATTATGTACATGTATTAGGTTTATCTTAACTCTTACCCTACAGAAGGGAAAGTATCTGGTATACACCTACGGGATGTAATTATTTTGCATTTTTAGCCATGGGTGGGAATGGGGTGGGCATCTACTTAAACAGTTTTTAAAAAAGAAAAAAATCACAAATATTTTTCTACTATTATATATGATCTTACTTTATACTAGTTTCTCTCTAGTAAGGCATGCCAGAAGCCCAAGCTATCATATCATCAGTTCACCTGTATTGTACCTTTTATTGGTGGTTAAATTGCATCAGATGCTTGGCACTGCTGCCGTAATTATGAAATGCTTATAAAGGATTAAATATCACTGAGTACTTTAAATTGTTTTACTTAAGAGTCTAATATGGGAAGTTTTCAAATAATACTATTAATGTGTAATCTAAGCTCTTTCATATGTATCCATGAATAATCCTGGAACAATATTGCTTGTATTCCTGTCACAGAACAGGTTTTGTAATCTTTAAAAGAAATGAAAATTTATATAATAAAGTTTCAAATAAATGCATGTATGTCTGTCAGGTTATTTTGATTACATGATGATTAATCCTTCATATTATCAAATTCTATCCAAAGTATAAATTTATGAAGTTGAATTGGTAGAACTTAAAACAGGAATAATGTTTCTGAGTTAATAAGTACAAACTAATTTTTCTATGCAAAGTTTTGGTTAGCCTAAAGAGTTTGTCAAATCAGGCTCACATCAGTCATAGATCTTACCCAATACCAAACTTGATTAAGTTATTCAAAGGGTACAGAATAATCCCCAGGCACAGATGAGAAGCTTTTCTTGGAGAAGTCCAAGTTTACCAGATTTAGCTCTAAGACAATCTTTTTCCCCCTCACTATAGTACATTGTGGATTGGTTCAAAATTAAAGGACAAGTTCCCTCCTGAGTGATGTATGCAGAGACATTGTTTAAACACGGAGTCATTTGGTTTTGCAACATCCCCTTTTTATGCCACATTAATTACACAATTTAAATGAGGATCCCCCATTCTCTAGTCAACTATGCCTCACAAGTCCATAAATTCCAGGTTTTATAATAAGCTATCTCTATAAGTACATCTTGCTAAAAGCATTTTAGAGATAAGGACTTGACATTTCTACTATAAGTATCTAGCACAGTTAAAAGGAAGTTTGAGCTCATTGATTGCTGTTTTTAAAAAAATGGGTTATAGGCCTGCAGTTATTCCTTTCCTTCCCAGTAGACATTTTTAGTAGTTTTATATTATGATGGTGTATTAGTTTGCTATGGCTGCCACGACAAATTTGTCATAGTTCTGGAGTCTGGACATATTTAGTTCAAGATCAAGGTGCCAACTCTTTAAAGACCCTATCTCCAAGTACAGTCACATTCTGAGGAATTAGGGGTTAGGAATTTAACATATGAATGTTAGGACACAATTCAGCCCACAACACTGAATTTAGGTCTCCCTCCTGTTCTTCGTTTGTAATGAGCACCTAGTGTGTGTCAGACATTCTGCTAAGTGCAGGTAATAAATAGCAAGCAACAGATGGGGTCTCAGCCTAATAAGGCGTACAGTGAGGTAGGGAAGACAGATACTACAAACAGTAACAAGGGTCGTGCAGATACTATGCTTCGGTAATGGATGGCAGGAAAGCCTTGCTGTTCCCCTCGGATTCCCAACCTAGTAGGTTGGGTGAAAGGGCCCCATTGAAACGAACGTGGGATTACAGCTGATGAGTCAGCTGCTCAAACTCGGAGAGGCAAGTTCCTCGCAAAGCAGAAGTCTGGTATCAGCCAGCCGCCAGTCCTACGTGAATCCGCCTCTTACTTGGACTCCCGGGCCCTGTCCACTCTCTCCGCGACTCTGCGTTGTCGCAGTAAACGGCCCGGCCCCCTATAGTGACCGCTTTGGGAACGCTAGCACTTCTGCTTTAACAAGTCAGTGGCCCACGCCTGCGCAGAAAGACCCGGGGGCGGGAGGCGGGCCCAGTAGCGTTGGAAGGCGGGGAGAAGCTACGCAAGCAGACGCGACGCCATTTGCTGCGGCCGAACGTGGTAGCCGGCTGTTCTCGGAAGGGCTGGGTAGCGAGACTCTCCCGCGCACGCGAGCCGGCCTCTTGTCCCTGTTTTGTACCACGCGGCTCCAGGCCTTCTCTCTCGCGCCCTTTGAGGGAGTCACCGCTGCCATCGCCGCCGCCATCACCCGCATAGGAGTCAGAAAAGCCGCCAGGCCGTCCTCACCGCCATGCCCAAGAATAAAGGTAATTGCCGCCTGGACCCCGGGACCACGACTTCGCTCGCCCTGATCTCCCGGCACTGCCTGGTGCTTCAGGATAGCCCAGGCCACGGTGACATTCTTCTCCACCCCGCTTGTGGGCGGCTGGGCGGTCCGGACTCGATTCTGGGCTCGGGAGTGGAGCTGGGAAGTTACTCCTGTCTTCCAGTTTGGTCACATTGGGGTGGAGCCGACGCCATTTTTGTAGGGCCTTCTGCGGGAGAATGTGGGGGTTTGGGTCCTGATTCGCGCCACAGTGACCGCGGCGCAATGGGGACCTGCGGGGAAACCTCCCCTGGGCGGCCAGGGCTTCGCAAATGCACGTCCTTGGGCCTTCCCCGGTAAGGGGAGTTAAGCACTGCAAGCAGTTCTTAACTTATAGGGGGTGATGCTTGCTTTAGTGACAACCCATGGTCCTGCATGGGTTTCTTGATGGACAGTTGTTGAATATTGTTGAGACTGCTCTTCATGTAAACAGTGGGCAAAACTGGATGCATTTCTGAGGTTCGTTCGTAGAGGTTTACCTTTCCCTATCCCTTTACGGGGTTGAACTTTTTTCCTCCCAGAACACTTGTTTCACATTTAGCAGAGTTCTCCACTTTTGTTTCAGATCGCGCACGTGTGTATACACACATATACATATATGCACGCACGCACATACATATACATACATAGTGCTGGGGGTAAAGACCTTTTAGTTACCTCCATTCTGAAGTTAAACAAACATTCACAAATGATCAGACTTGAGGGTAAGTTTATTTGGAATTTCCAAAGTCGCCTAATCCGGGTGAAAGCAGAACAGTACTAAAGAAATTATCCTTCTTTTAGACTTAAGAGTGTTTCTGCTTTTTAAGCATCCTTATAATTTCTCAAAGGGCATTGCGCAAGTAGAAACTGGGAAAACTTTCTGACAGGAGAGGAGCATCTTTCAGAACCCATCAGAAGTTTCCTTTCATTATTCATCCTGAGACTGCCTCACCCCCCCAAACCTGGCCTACTTCTGTTCTCTTCTGCTTCACAGCTGGCTCCAGGGATTCTTCCTCATTTCCTCTGTAGCTGTCACTACTCATTTTATCCCTCAGGATATTTTGTTGCTGTTCTGGCAAAATTTAGTGCAGTTCCTTCAGTGCACACTACCTTATTGCCCTTAGAACTCTAACTTGTAGGCCCATTTAGTAGCAAGGATTTTGCTGCTAATTATTCTGGGAAAGGTGGGGTGTTATAATAGGGTTTTAAAAGTCATAGTTTTCTTGTAACCTATATAAACCTTTATTCATTCCAAGATGGTAAACTCAATCACTTTGCTGGGTATCTTAGTATCACTTTTATGCATAGCACAAGATGTCCAATTCCTTCACTAGACTGTAAGCTTAGAGAGCAGTAAAATAGTAACTATCTTAATCACATTGGATTGCTAGCACTTGACACTTAGTAGATGCTCAGGTAGATGCTCAATAAATATTTGTTGGTTTAAGTCACCCCCTTCTGTTGAGTCCACACTTAGGTGAATAATAGGTTCCCCTTTGGTTCCCAAGGGGACAGGACTTACGCTTTAAATCACATCTAGTTCACTAACCTCTATTAAAGGTCATTTCATTACATGGCAGTGAGATAGAGAGGGGGCGATAAGGGTATGGTTGTTTCTAGTAAATTAACAAGATGAATCACTTTTGTAAGTAACATTTTGAGGTGTGTAAAAATTATAGATAATGCAGCATATACCTGGGAATCTATTACTCTGAACTTGGGAATTACAACACAGATTCAGTTAAGCCCTCTATCTCCCTCCCCAATCCGCTTCCTCTTTCTGAAGGTAACCACCATTCTGAACTTAGTATTTATTGTTCCTGGGTATGTAAAAACAGTTATCTGACTTGTTCTCTTACTTAGAGGACTGGTACTTTGCAAGACCCCTGCATTTTATGAGATGAGGTTTAGTGTAGAAATAAATGTGTTTGTTCATTGGAAAAGCCAGAAACTCTGTGAATGAATATAATCTTAATGATGATTATACAAGTAAGGATATAAATTACCATGAACTCTGTGTCAGAGACTTTAGCTTTGGACTGATTGTTAGCTTATTTCCTCTAGATTCTGTTAACTTATTACCACAGAAAAAAAGGTATCCTTTGGCCCATTCAGAAGAGCATGTAGGGTAAGGTGCTCCCACATTTTGAGGATATTACTACCTTTGATTTTAAAATCACCATTCCTTTAGGAATATATGGACTACTCTTGACTGATTTATTTGAAGAATTGCCAGATCAAATATATAACTCAGCAAGCAGATTTGATTCTTGCCCCAATGGAGCGCTCACTCTAGTTTGAAGATCTGGCATGATTAATGGCTTGAAGCAGAAGCTACTTTTCTCTTCCTAGGAAATTAGTTTTGGTATGCCCTAAGAATGCCTCAAATACTGAATTCTAAGGACTCTGGGTGGGTCAGGAAATTCTAGAGGCCCACCTAACAGCTGCACAGAACATTGTGAGACTGCACCAAGGGTAAGTGCGCTTGATGCAAGAAGTTATGTCTTTTTTTTTTTTTTTAGATTTTATTTGTTTTTAGAGAGAGGGGAAGGGAAGGAGTAAGAGCAGAAGAGAAACATCAATGTGTGGTTACCTCTGGCACGGCCCCCACTGGGGACCTGCCCTGCAACCCAGGCATGTGCCCTGACTGGGAATCGAATAGGAGACCCTTCTTTTCACAGCAGCCTTTGCACAGTCCACTGAGCCACACCAGCCAGGGCAAAGTGTGTCTTTATGGTGGCCAGGTGCACGTTCTTGGTTCTGTTTGGGCTATGAACTTTTTGTTGCTTTCACACTCTTTGTATATGTCCCTTAGTGTCACTACCATTTATAGTCATTTTCAGAAATGGCTGCCAATGTGTCTTAGGTTTTGGAATTAGAGCAAAATGCTGTGCAAAGATACCATAATGTGGAGGCCAAGAACAAAAGAAGGTTAGGTTTGAATATCATCACCCACACTCACTGACTAATGGTATACTGGTTACTTCTCTGAACTTGGATGAACTCACTGGTAAACCAGGAGTAAATGACTTATTGCCTCATGAGGTGATTGTGACAAGTAAATGGATGGCATTGCATGGTGGTTAAGAGAATAGTCAGTGGGGTTTCATAATCCCAGATCTCAGGTCACATGGTATAGCCTCAGATATACCACTTAATAATGTACTTATTATTTTACTGCTCCCTCCTTCAATACCCGATCACAGTTCTCTTTGTTTCCTTCTCAGAAATATTCCTTTTATTATTAAGTACAAAGGATAATGCACTTAACCTTTCTGAAGTGCATTATCTTGTAAAATAAAGATAAATTAGTACCTATCTCATAGGCAGACTCCTTAGGGGCAAGTTACTAAAACAGTAGTAGTGTCCTGGGATTGAAGTATAAGGTAATAGAGGAGAAGTATTAAGAGGTAGGTTGATGTCATGTTTACAGGGTGAGAGATTTAACATTCTTTAAGATAGTTATGGAACCACTAACAGAAACAAGCATGTGGATTGAGAACCAGATTTATAAAAGAAAGTAAATGGAGTTTTGAATAAAATTGAGCTTTAGAAAGAGGAGACCAAGGCTTAGTTGAAATAGGGGGTCTGATATGTAAAATTGATCGGCACAGAAGTGACAGATGAAAGAAAAGTAAATTTTCGGAGAGTGGGTGAGGAGAAGGTAAGTATTTGGACTTAATGCAGCTCCAGTGGGATGGGCATAATGTGGGGGGGGTGAAAGGTCAAGAATGATGCGAATGACGCTTTAAAAGTTGTCTGGAAAAGGGGAGTTGAGAAGTAATTAGCAGTATCGTTACTAAAAATATGAAAAATGCATGGGGTGGAGGATGACAGATTTTGAAGGACAGCAGTAGCTAGGGGAGTTGTAGAATCATTAATAGTAGGTATCTTGGTCCTCTGTTCTAACTCCCTCATTTTACAGAGGCTGAAAGAGATCCTGAGGGGGTTTTTGTGAAAACTCCAAGTATCCTTTACTGCTCCCTCCTTCAATACCCGATCACAGTTCTTCTTTGTTTCCTTCTCAGAAATATTCCTTTTATTATTCCTCTGAATCATATTCCATTGTATGGCCATACCACAGTTTATCCATTCACTTACTGAAGGATATCTTAGTTGCTTCCTTTCTTCTCATGACTAAACTCAGCGTGCTTCATTTTACATGTAATAAGTGACCTTCCCACCAGTTTTCCCACCCAGAGGGGCATGTCACAGCTTCGCTTTTTGTTGAAGTGGTTTCCTACTAAAATGTTTGGAATAGTAAATATATTCATGAGTCAAATTTCAAAAAGTATGAAAAAATGAAATCTCTCTTCCTAAATGTGTCCCATTGCCAACTAGTTCTATTTCTCACGGGCATTATCTTTTTTGTATATGCCCTTCCAGAGATATTTTATGTATATATAAGCAGATATGAATATGAAATTTTTACATTAATGGTGGCTTTATGTTCTTCACTATGCTCTATTTTTAAGCTCATAATAGGAAGAATTTTGAATATATACAAAAGTTGACTAGTTTAAGGAACTTTCATGTACTCATGTCCTGGCCTCAGGCACCATCAGTTCATGGCTAAACTTGCACCATCCACACCAAATCAGGATCCAGAGATGGTCTACAGGTTGCCATTGGTTGGTATGTCTTTTAAGTATGTGTTAATCCATAGGTTCCCCGTCTGTTTATGTTTTCTTTTCTTTCTTTCTTTTTTTTTTATAAAGTGTCTATTGAAGAAAACAGATTGTCTTTTCTTTTTTAAGGTTTTATTGATTTTTTAGAGAGAAGGGAAAGAGGAAGAGAGATCGAAAGGGGGAGAAACGTCACTATGAATGAGAAGCATCAATCCATCCGTTGCTTCTCACACTCCGCCCCCAACAGGGGACCTGGCCTGTAACCCAGGCATATGCCTTGACTAGGAATCATCTGGCAGCCTCTCAGTTCCACAGGCTAGAGTTCAACCCACTGAGCCACACCAGCCAGTGTGAAAACAGACTGTCTTGTAGAATTGCCCCCACAATTTGGATTTTGCTGATTGCATCCCTATTTTTCCTTGCTTTTTCTTGTGTTTTTTTTTAAATAGACTTTATTTTTTAGAACAGTTTCATATTTATAGAAAATAGAGCAGCCCTGGCTAGTGTGGCTCAGTGGATTGAATGCCGGCCTGCAAACTGAAAGGTAACTGGTTCCCTTCCCAGTCAGGGAACATGCATGGGTTGTGGGCCAGGTCCCCAGTCGGGGGTGTGTGAGGCAAGCAATTGATGTATCTCTCACACATTGATCTCTCTCTCTCTCCCTCCGTTCCTCTCTCCTAGGGGTACATAAATAAAAGCTTTTAAAAAATGAAAATGGAGCAGAAACTACAGAGTTCCCATGTGCTCCCCCCCCAACAGTTTTCTGTATTAACATCTTGCATGAGCCAATCTAGGTGCATTATTATTAACTTAAGTCATAGCTTACATTAAGGTTCATACTTTATGTTGTGCATTTGTATAGGTTTTGACAAATATATAGTGACATACCCACCATTACAGTGTCCTACAGAATAATGGTTTCATTGCCCTAAAAATCCCCCGTGTTCCACCTATTCCAACCGTCCTTCCTCCTCCTCCCCCGACTCTTTGCAACTACTAATATTTTTACTGTCTCTGTAGTTTTGCCTCTTCCAAAATGTTACAGTCATACTAGTTAGGCTTTACAGATTGGGTTCTTTTCCCCTAGCAATATACAGTTGAGGTTCCTCCATGTCTTTCAGGGCCTTGGTAGTTCATTTCTTATTATTATGGCCAAATAGTATTCATTGTATGGAACTACCACAGTTTCTTTACCTAGTGAAGAACAGCTTAGTTACTTTCAAGTTTAGGCAGTTAGTACCTTCTTTTTTAGCTTCTGATGTCTTACTTAATGTGTACTACATCAGTAGGGTAAAATTCAACCTAAAATTGCCAGACTTGTTGCTCTTTCTCCACCACCACAAAATCAGTATCTCCCATTCCAGTAACTACAACTTTACCTTTTTTTGTTGTTGTTGTTCTTTCCCATCATTTCCTACACCTTTCATTGGGTGAGGAGGTTAGGTACAACAGAGACAAGGCATTTTTATAAAATTTATGAAGACCCAACCCTGGCTGGTGTGGCTCAGTGGATTGAGCACCAGCCTGTGAACCAAAGGGTCGATGGTTTAATTCCCAGTCAGGGGACATGCCTGGTTTGCACGAGAGGCAACCACACACTGATGCTTCTCTCCCTCTCTTTCTCCCTCCCTTCCCCTCTCTAAAAATGAATAAATAAATCTTTTTTTAAAGACCCATTATGTCTCCCACCTTGTTTCATGTGAGCCACTGTAGAAGGGTTTTGCTGAGCAGTGTAGTCAACCAGGTGGTCATCATCTTTATGATCCATGGCAACGCAGTCATTGAATGCAGATGTCCTCAGAAAGGGCTCTGTGTACTTTTATATAATATCTCCTTTGGTTTGTTTGTATTTTATGTCAGAAATATTCCAAAAGGAATTTCTAAGAAGAGTGTGGGAATGGTGATATGTATATGTTTGATATGGTTGGAGATTGTAAATTTAATATGATTGTGTGACTAACTTAGGTTAATAGTTTAATGTGACTTTTTTTAAAGGCTTTTCATAAGCCTTAATTTAGTTTCTTTTCCCACTGTTTTGCAGATAATGTCTTTTTCTTTCTTTAAAACCATTAGGTAAAGGAGGTAAAAATAGACGTAGGGGTAAGAATGAGAATGAATCTGAAAAAAGAGAACTGGTATTCAAAGAAGATGGACAAGGTAAGCATTTATATAACGTTGGTTTCTTTTAGTCATAGTCGTGTTTTTTAAATGCAGAATTTCAGTTTGTCATCATGAGAGAGGTACTAGTCGTAATTCAGAGCAACGAATCACACATCCCTTTTGCTCTTCTCCATTTCTCATCCTCACACTTCTCCAGAGCCTTTCTTTGGTTAGTCATTTCTTGGTATACTTGGTGTGTCTGCCAATATGGACATGTCATTGTTTTGAGTGAACACTTGTTTCTAAGAATGAATTGTACAGTTCAGAGGGAATTAAGCCTCAAAAGTGATGGTTGACAATCCACAGTTGACTAGACCTGTGTGGATAGTAAATAGCACTACATAGCATGTGCAGTAGACCATGGATACTTGAGGGATGAATCTGAAGAAGCCTTTCTCTGGCTTCTCCAGTGCCCTTAACATATAATTTTCATAAAATGTAATAAAATGAAACTGAACATTTGACTTACCTTTTCAAACCGAGTAAGGCTTTGTAAGTTTCAGACCAAAATATGTAATACTAGTTTCTTGGTATTTTTATTTTGAGTAATTTTAAACCTTCAGGTAAGTTGCAGTGGTTAGTACAGTGAGCTTCCTTTAAATTACCCTTTGTCTAAGTATGCATGTGTGTCTGTGTTTTCTGAACCATTTGATAGCTGCGGATGTCATAATACTTTTCCCTTACTACTTCATCATATGTCTCTTAATAGCTGTAAGCTCTTACATAGCGAAAACAACACTCAGGTGATTTTGAGTATATTATATATCTAGTATGTGGCCCATATTCAGAATTTTGTAGTTATTCAAATAATTTCCAGCAGTTTTTCCCCCAGAACTTTTAAATAAATTTTTTAATTGTCTTTTTATAGAATTTTGGTGATTTTTTCATGCCATACAAAAATGAGACATGTTTTCTGGCTTATAGGCCTTTTTGTTTGTTAGCCTTAGGTCAGGGATATCAATCCCATTTTTATGGGGCGGGGGGGGCCACATCAGCCTCACGGTTGCTTTCAAAGGGCTGAAATAATTTTAGGATTGTCTAAATGTAACTACTCCTTAACTGTTAAGAAGTTGAAATTATATTCGGCCCTTCGAAGGCAACTACAGAGTTGATGTTGCCCCTGGTGAAAATGAGTTTGACACCCTTACCAACTTAACTAAGCTAAAGGTTCTGAAGTGATGTGTGTGACCCCTGTCCACAACCCCCTCTCCGTGTCCTCTGTCATTGAATGATAAAAGAGGCCCGTGTTCAAAGCTAATGTTCATAAATAATCTTGGTTTTTCAGATGCCAGTGAAACCAGGCGGCTTTTACAAAAACTGTGGAGTAATCGCTAAGATACTCTACTTAACAAAGACATAGTTAACATTTAAGCTACTTTTATTTGCCAGATGTACTAAGTGTTGTGTTGAGATTAGGCTCTAAAGGTTCTAAGGGAAAGGAGGTCCAAAATTGGGAAAGGCTTCAAATATGAAAGATGGAGAAGGTGCAGTGTGTACATTTTGGGATAAACCACCTTGATGTCTGAAAGTAAAGCAAATAGTCGTGAAGACAGTCGTAGTCAGTCTATTTAATCAAACTGAGTTCATAATTAAAACACTCCTCATAGCAGAGAGACAGCTTGTTAGAGTCTTGGTCATGGTTCTGCCATTATCTAGTTTGGGGTTTATCATTCCCTTGTATTTTTTGTACTTACGTATATTTATTCCCAAGTAGTACACCTATACTTAGTTTTATGGAGACTGCTAAGTCGCTTTTATCAAAAGTCTAACATTATCTTATACCCTATTCTTTTTCCTCCCCCAGAATATGCTCAAGTAATCAAAATGTTGGGAAATGGGCGCTTAGAAGCAATGTGTTTTGATGGTGTAAAGAGGTTGTGTCACATCAGAGGGAAATTGAGAAAAAAGGTAGGTATGGGGGATTGTTTTAGTTTAATACAAAGTTGTCATTACGGGAGGGGAAAATGGCTCTATAGTTTTTATGTGCCAAGGGCCTCATAATTCCCAAAAGGGTTCAGTAGAACAGTGATTTATACATTCTGTCTAAAGACTCATTTGCATCAGCTATGCCGTATTCCTGCCAAAAATGTATAACTTGAATCTAATCATGAGGAAATAATCAACAAATCCAAATTGAGGGACTCTGCAAAGCAAATGGGCTGGCTTTTAATACATTGTTGGTGTCGGGAAAGAGGAAAAAGGCCGGGTGCTTATTTAAGGGTTATATTACTGTTAACTTTCCTGAATTTTGTCATCACAGATGGGCTGCCTTGGAAAATAATGATAAATTTCCCATTAGTCATTAGTAGGTATTCAGGAAGATTTATTAGATTGGTTAAGAGTGCCTTCAAGTCTGATTTTATGATTTTTAAAAAATGTATTTGGTTTGTTAATCTTTACATTACCAAAGTAAAGGGGTAGGGGAAATAGAAGGGAGGGAGGGAGATGAGGCTACATTTCTAAAATTTTTTAAATTGTCACCTGAGGATATGTTTTTCTTGGTTGGAGAGAAGGAGGGAGGGAGGGAAACATCAATCATATGTGCCCTGACTAGGGATTGAACCCACAACCTAGGTATATACCCTGACTGGGAATCGAACCTGTGACCTTTTGGTGTACAGGACAGTGCTACAACCAGCTAAGTCACCTGGCCAGGACCACATTTCTAATTTTATATTAATGTGTTAATGAATAGATAACTAACCACTTAGAGTGGTTCACTATGAAAAAAATCCCTTAATTTTTAAACTAATTATTTCTCTGGACTTAGTAAACTGCCAAATAGTTAAGTTAGAGTATTGTTTTAATATCCCAAATTACAGAGAAGTTTAAACAGGCACAGCTACTTGCTATAGATTTTTGTTTGGGTTTTTTTTTCCCCTCAAAAAACAAATACAATTCTAAATAATACATACTTTGCCCAGAGTTGGAAGATTAGTATTTTATGGAGATGCTGAGTAAGGGTTGCTCTTGATTCTTTATTTTTATTTTTTAGGTTTGGATAAATACGTCAGATATAATACTGGTTGGTCTGCGAGATTACCAGGTAAAATAAAATAGTTTTTATTGTTCACTTGCTTGATTGTGATCATTAATGTTAGGAACATGAGCCATAACCATATTTGACCAGTCCCAGCCCAGTATGCCCTTTACCACTGGATCAGCAAACATTTTTAAGGGCTAGTTATTTTTGGCCTGGGCATGTCCTAGAATATGCTCATCGCTTTGGAAGTACCCCGGGTACCCCAAAAGCCAGTCTGTGGAGTTTGTATTTTCACTGTAGAAGAAATACAGGCCATGTACATTTTTAATGAAGCCAAATAGTTCTCCTTCCTTTTCTGATAGTTAAAGTTTCCTTTTTGAAATAAGTGATAGTGTATAGTAATAGTTTTGTTAGTGTTCTTAGTTGGCAAAATAAAAATCACCTTGTATTGGCCCTCCCACCCCGATTTTAAAAAATATATGTATACGTCTTGAAATCAAAATCTGGAAACCATTATCCATGTGGCTACAGCTAAATGATTCGTGCTCCCATCCCACAAGATGCTTACAGGCTAGTGCTGGGGAGATAAGACAAGGACACGGGTAATTGCAGTAAATTTAGATAAGTACTTAGGTAAGAAAATGGTAGTTGCTCCTCTTGATCTCAGTCTGCAGATACACATCGTGGGTCTGTGAAATCCGTTTGGTTCCATCTGTTGGACGTCATCACCATGTGTTAAATCACACTGTGAGTGATAAAATGTTTCTGTTTTTATAACCTTGGTCATAACTTGATTTTTTATTAACAATACATATATATATTTCAGAATAAAAAAATCAAAATCTTTCAATTAGTGGTTCTCAACTATGGGTGATTTTTTTTTTTTTTATAATGTCCAATGGCCATTTGGCAGTGTCTTTTAGACATTTCTGGTTGTTACAACTGAGGGAGGGGGACAGAGCTGCTGGCGTCTAATGAGTAGAGACCAGGGATGCTGCTAAATATCTTAGCAGTACAACGGGCAGTCTACAACAAAGAATCGCCCAGCTCAAAATACCAGTAGTGGTGAAGTTGAGAAAGCCTGCTTTAAATTCATGTCTTTTTAATGTCCATTTTCTTATTTTGATCCCCAAAGTAACCCCAGAAGTAGGAAGAATAATTAGTTCCCTGTTTGACAGATAGGAAACCAAGGTTCTGAAAGGTATAACATCCTGAATAGAAAATGACAGCCAGGACCAACGTTTTTTGTTTGTTTGTTTGTTTTTTAAGATTTTGTTTATTTATAGACAGAGGGGAAGGGGGGGAGAAAGAGAGGGAGAGAAACATCAATGTGTGGTTGCCTCTCACGTGGCCCCCACTGGGAACCTGGCCTGCAACCCAGGCATGTGCCCTGACCGGGAATCAAACCGGCGACCCTTTGGTTCACAGCCCGCACTCAATCCACTGAGCTACACCAGCCAGGGCAAGACCAACATTTTTGATTCTTAATCTCTCATGATCTGCCTCTGCCTCTGCCTCTGCCTCTGCCTCTGCCTCTGCCTCTGCCTCTGCCTCTGCCTCTGCCTCTGCCTCTGCCTCTGCCTCTGCCTCTGCCTCTGCCTCTGCCTCTGCCTCTGCCTCTGCCTCTGCCTCTGCCTCTGCCTCTGCCTCTGCCTCTGCCTCTGCCTCTGCCTCTGCCTCTGCCTCTGCCTCTGCCTCTGCCTCTGCCTCTGCCTCTGCCTCTGCCCCTGCCCCTGCCCCTGCCCCTGCCCCTGCCCCTGCCCCTGCCCCTGCCCCTGCCCCTGCCCCTGCCCCTGCCACTGCCACTGCCACTGCCACTGCCACTGCCACTGCCACTGCCACTGCCACTTACAGAGGTAGTCCAGGGGCCAGTAAGTTTTGGGAACTTGTTAGAAATGCAGATACTTGAACCCTACCCGAAACCTCCTAAATCAGAATATGCATTTTAATGAGCTCCCCTGGGTTTCTAGGCACATTTCAGTTTATACCTGCAGGTCTGGGTCTAACTGCCCTTGCATCACTGTGATCATTTTTGTTGCCTTTGAAACAATCACCTTCAACCCTTTTTTCTTACTTAACTGAGTCATATTGTTTTTTCAAATGGGGAAGTCGGACTTTTAAAGCAGTAGTTTTCAGTGGAACCTGTGCAGTGAAATACTCAAAAAGTGTTTTTAAAATAAAAATTCATGGCTTCACATCTACTAATTTACAGGCGGTATAAAAGTTGCATTGGAGATTCTGACCAGTTCTACCCTAAGAACCACTGACATGTGGAAACATGTATTATTAGTTTCCTTAGGTCATTATACCGGTCTCATTTGTTTTTTTAGAGTTTATTTATTTTTAGAGAGTATGGAAAGGAGGGAGGGAGAGAGGAAGAGAAACATCAATGTGTGGTTGCCTTTCACGTGCCCCCAAATGGGGGCCCTCAACCCAGGCCCTCAACCCAGGCAAGTGCCCCAACCAGGAATCAAAACGGCGACCCCTTGGTTCGCAGGCAGGCGCTCAAGCGCTCAATCAGCTGAGCCACACCTACTAGGGCCCAGTCTCAATTCTTTAATTACCTGTAAATTATGGTCCCCGAAGTTTCTGTATTTCAAAAGACTTCTAATCAAAGGATAATGGTGAGTAATCTACAACATAAGGTCTGCACAGTTTTGCTCTTATTAAAGTGAAATCTGAATATTTTCCCTAAGCTTGTTTATCATTATTCATTTGTGCATGCAAGCTTCATACTGGATTAAACCCAAGGGTGTTTTTCAGAATGTAAGAGAAAACTTAATGTTTTGCCATAATTAGATCTAAAAGTTATTTTCTCTTCTCAAGGACAATAAAGCTGATGTAATTTTAAAATACAATGCAGATGAAGCGAGAAGTTTGAAAGCGTATGGCGAGCTTCCGGAGCATGGTAATGTCTGAGTTACTGTATTAGCCTGTCATGGTGCTCTTACCTGGTGGTATTAAGATGAATGAATTTCGGTAGGGTTTTCTGGATTTTGCATATTTACTTTTGTGCTTACGTGATTTGATTTAAGTCTGACTGTCTATACCAGATACTTGTACTAGATGCCTTAAGAAAATGACTGGGATTCTGTTTCTAATAAATATACAATACACTTCATGAGAAGTTACGTTTTATAAACCCTGGGCTTCTGCATAATAGCAGTCAAAGAAAAAAATTGTGTTGCAATATTTCTTTCAAAATTCCTTTGTCAAAGAGAATTTTGAGTGTTCCTCTACTTTAAATGTGAAACAAGTATAGTAATTAGGTACTATTGTCAATTTTTATTAAAAAGTCAATCTTCATTTTACCCTAGTATCATAGTATCCTATAGGATTTTTTTTAAGCCAGTATTCATTGTTTCCTCTCCCAGTACAAAAGTTAAGTAAAGCAAAAATAAGTCCCTTTAATCAAAGGGGAAATACACTTTGCATACTATTTTGTAGGCCTGCATTTTTCACATGGTAGTTGTTAACTTTGGGGCAAACTCTGTTGCATGTTATCATGGAAATAATGTGACTTTTATATTATATTTTCTATTTTGCTGCATCTCCAAAACATTAGGATACATAGATTTATTCCTGGGATGAGTAGTTCACTTGGTTAGAGTATTGCCCCCATTCACCGAGGTTGCAAGATGGATCCCAGGTTAGGGCACACACAAGAAGCAACAGATGGCTCCATCCTGTGGGACCTAGCTGTTCGGGTGTTGTCCTACAAAGCTAAAGGTCACTGGATCCATTCCTGGTCAGAGCGTGTGTCCAGGTTGCAGGTTTGGTCCCCAGTTGGAAGGCAACCAATTAATGTTTGTCTGCTCCCTTCCCCTCTCACTAAAATCAAAAATAAAAATTAAAAAAAAATTTTTTTAAGGTTCTATTTATTTATTTTTAGAGAGAGGTGAAGGGAAGGAGAAAGGGAGAGAAACATCGATGTGTGGTTGCCTCTTGCGTAGCCCCTACTAGAGAGCTGGCCCACAACCCAGGCATGTGCCCTGACTGGGAATCAAACCAGCGACCCTCTGGTTCACAGGCTGGCACTCAGTCCACTGAGCCACACCAGCCAGGGCTTGAAAAAAATTTTTTAAAGTAACCAATGAATGCATAAGTAAGTGGAACAACAAATTGATGTTTCTCTCTCTAAAATCAATCAATAAAAATGTTTTTAAAAGAATACACCCAATTATGAATTTTTAAACAAGTACCACTATACTAATGCTATGTACCTTTCAAAGCATACCCTAAAATAGAAAATGAAAAAGGATAAATAAATACATCATTCTATTATTTTTTTAACAAATTAGAGACCATGAAAATGCGGCTGAAATAAATTATCTGGCATTTCCAATCTAGTAAGTGCTAATATATCTATCTGGGAATAGGACTAGCACTTTATGGTTCACGTTCATTGCTTAGGGATAGCATGATTGGACCAAATCTTTTCTGATTGATGAATCTGATGATTAGTAAGTTATTAGTGTGTGCTTGGACCTTTTTTAAAGCATAGCTGGAAGTCGTAATAGCTTGAGAATTTATGTAATTAGAGCCTGCCTTACTAAAAATACCTTTACAGACAAATGACAAGTTTAACACAGGTGCGTTCCATCTTGACTTAGCAGTCACTTTGTTAGAAGTTTTGTTGTGTGAAATACTGTTCTATATAGTAGAATTATTAGGTTGAAGTTAGGATCTTTCTGATAATAAAACTTAGATTCAATGAAATTAGAAGTTTGCATTGTAAGAGTCTCCTTTTATACTTCAACATTTGATAACAGACCACTTGTTTTAGTGAGCAGTCATTTATTCTAATAACATCTTGGTTATGTTAAACAAGTATATTTGTTATTATTTCTTCAGCTAAAATCAATGAAACGGATACATTTGGTCCTGGCGATGACGATGAAATCCAGTTTGATGACATTGCAGATGACGATGAAGACATTGATGATGTATGTACATGCACCTCGCATTTTTCAACATTTGTTTATGAATTATCCATAGAGAAACCAGGTCTTAACTCCCTAACTTCCTTTAATCTAAGAATGTTGAACATTTAAATAAGGGTATAAATACTCAGTAGACAGACTGTTTATACTATGAGAATTCATCTATTTTCAGCATGTCTTCCTAGAAAGATCAATCTTTGCTTTGATAATATAAATGCTAGGCATTGGAAGCATACCTTGTTTAATTAAGAGTGTCTGAAGAGCCCTGACCTTTGTGATTCAGTTGGGTGTCATACCGCAAAGTGAAAGGTCACTGGTCAGATTCGTGGTCAGGGCACATGCCTGGGTTGCAGGTTCAGTTCCAGGTCAGGGCGCATATGAGAGGCGACCAATCAATGTTTCTTCTCTCCTTCACTTTCCCCCCTACCTTCCCTGCTCTCTAAAAATAAGTAAATAAAATCTTTTTTAAATGTGTCTAAAGCGATAGCTATTAAAAACTTTAGTTGTAAGAAATATAAGATCTGACCACAGACACATGCCTTCTCTCATTTGAAATACTAGTATGTTAAAAGAAGAAACATGTGAACCAGCTTGATAAGAAGCTTTGAATCCCTGGCTGGTGTAGCTCAGTGGATTGAGCGCAAGGCTGCGAACTAAAGGGTCGCCAGTTCGATTCCCAGTCGGGGCACATGCCTGAATTGCAGGCCATGTCCCCATTGGGGGTCACGTGAGAGGCAACCACATACTGATGTTTCTCTCCCGCTCTTTCTCCTTCCCTTCTCCTCTCTAAAAATAAATGAATAAAAATTTTTTAAGAAAAGCCTTGAAATTACAACATACATTAAAAAGCTTTGTTGAAATCAAGGTCTTTTTGCCATTATGTGATTTTTATCTGCTAGAAGTGCACTATTGTGCAAACTCTTTGTTTGGAGTTGATGTGTATATTTTGAGAAATTTTTAAATTTTTTAGCAGTGAAGCAGTGGTGCTCATAAAAACAAACATCTCATTGCCATTCTGCTCTTAATCATATTTAAGTGAAGTTCAAACTTTGTCTCTAGCAATATAAATTTATTGAATAATTGGAGTGGAATTATAAATTACTCATATTTTGGTATGGGCTCTTCAACCCCCTGTAAATAGGAATGTAGTTCAGAAACGACCTGTATATATCAGTCTAAAATTAATGCTGTTTGTTTACTTCAAAGAGGAAATTTTCGTGTACCTAGAGCAGTTGTTCCTGACCAAAACTGTGCAACAGAATTACCAGAGCTTTTCAGAAATATGAAGACTGGTCTTGGGCTGCGTTAGGCATCCCAAGTGATACCCACCACCGAAATTCTACAATGATCTTTTTCCTCTACTTGATTTACCATGTATCTATCTATACCTTTATTTACGCATCAATCTATCTTATATTTTGATACATCTTCAAAGTATTAGGACACTCACATTTATGAATTTTTAAACATACAGTACTATAATGCTTTGTATGTCATTCTATTATTATTTTTAAGATTTATTGATTTGTTTTTAGAGAGAGGGGAAGGGAGGGAAACACATCAATGTGTAGTTAACTCTCACGGGTCCCCTACTGGGGACCTGCCCTGCAACCCAGGCACCTGCCCTGACTGGGAATCGACCCGTGATCTTTTGGTTCACAGGCCCGTGCTCAATCCACTGAGCTACACCAGCCAGGGCTAGGGCTATTGTTTTTAATGTTGCTCCTTTTGCAGACCCTGAGCCACAAGGTTCTCAAAACCAAACTGTTAACGATACTTTGACAGTAGATTTATCTATTACGTTTTCTGACAAGAGCCTGACATGGAGCTACTGTGTTGTAGAGTAAGGTATGATCCAATCATTCGGCCAGCTGAGCTGGGGTAGAAGGCTTCTTCAGAGATTAAGAGCCTAACCAGAGAACGCACCTGAATAGGAGACCACATACAGGGGTTATAGGTGGAGGATCTAGACAGGGGAAAGATTTTCTAAGAAGAAAATTTCTGAGTCTTCGCCAGTATTTCCTCAGAACAGGGCACAGCAGGCTGGTGGGATAACAATGATAAAGATAGTAGTTACTGAGGGGATTGGAGTTACTGAACATTTGTAAGGGCGGCTTTATCACCTGAGAACCTTACTACTTCGAGACATTTCTCTAGATGGTTTATAGGTATTCTAGCCTTCATTCCTCTAACCAGGTTGACTGGAAGGAGGAGAAGTTGGTCTGTATCACATTTGGTTCTTTCTTAAAGAAATAATGTTCCCCCATGTCTGTTCCTACCCCCAGAAGATGACACTAAACTTTAATTAGAGTATTCAGTATAATGTGTAACATTCTGCTGGAGGTTGTGAAGATTTACTGGCAGCAGACCAGAATTGAGAAAAACATGGTATACAGAAATTCCTCTACAGACTGGCTTTGTTTCCCAGATAACCTAGGGGAAGGGGGGTCTCCCTTATGTGATAGGCTGCTGCAGTATAAGAATTTGTTTTTCATTTGATTTGATGTTCTTTTCCCTTTCAGATCTAAATTGACCTCGACATTTTACATTCCAACTTCTCTGAGGATTGATCAACAATTTGGATTTTGGCTGTGGCCTGTTAAAGAAGATTAAAATTATCTTTAGTTTGAGTACAGTTTGTTAAAGCAGACTGATGTGTTTCTAAGGTATTAATTTAAAAACTGGTAGTGCTGAATTAAAATAAATTTTAAGCCCACTCTGTTCTTTGGTGTAATGGAGCTTATGGGTAAAAGAGCACATCTGTTATTTTTAAAGAGGAAAAAAATCACGACCTTTCCTACTTTGACCACTTCAGTAAGTAAATGGATGTTTTGAATAAACGATTTGCCCTATACTTGTGGATTATGGTTAAGCCCTGCTTTTGACTGGCCTGCTGACTATACAGTGACTTTCTGTATATTTCAGTTACCTACACGTTCCTTTGCGGTTCTGATAAAATTTAAGGGAGCAGAAATCTGAATTTGAAGTCAAATGATTAGGTCTCTTTCATATTTAAGTATTATGTGAGTATTTTTATACTGATTTTGATATTACATATCTTCTTTTCATGATCTTATTTTGCCACTATAAACATCAACAAAAAAACCATTTCCAAGATGCAGATTTTAGAACCTGGGTTTTAATAGCAATTTTTATTTGTAAGGTCAGTAGTTGCAGAAATTGAACACTAGGTGGCACCCAGTTATCTTAACATCAGAAATACTGATATAGTTGTCAACTTCTTTTATTAACTTACTGTGCATAGGACATTTCTGAACCAAGAAGATTGTTTTGATTATGTGCATGTATGTGGAATATTTTTGCAGAACAAAAGGATTACATTGTGTCATTTCAGAAGTAATATACATATGAGCTACAATTTTGAATGCTGTATAAATGAAAATTAATTCCATAACAACTTGTATAAGTTGAATGTTTTTCAAACTATCCCAAAGCTGGGGAAAGAGGAGGGAATAACAATTTAATGAAGATGATCTCCCATTTCTGAATGGAAGAGCTACAGTGGAGAAATATAATAAAGATAATGTCATGTTGCAAACTATATTATACCTTACTTTGTGTTTAGGATATATTTTGTGTGTTCATTTTTTTGTTTTGGGTTGTTTGTTTGTTTGTTTGTTTGTTTTTGGCTTATATGCTACTGAGAATTTAGATTCACCCTTATTTAGGTTTTGTGGGTTTTTTTGTTGTTTTTTTTTAATCAACAGTACTAAAATGAAATCAAGGGCTGGACTAGTTAGACCTCACTAGTCATATTGAAATCGTATGCAGCTTTAAAAGAAGAGATCCATCATGTAGCATGTGAAGATTTTATTCTGCTGGTCTTCAGAGAACTTTGCTGTGGTGAAAAGTAACCTAAAGGGGAATAAACCTCACATGGCTTCTAAGAAAACATTTTATCTCGTTCCATGCTTAGTATGATTTCCTAAGGGCAAATTCTGAAATCAAAATCTGAGGTTCTATAAAACATTTTAAAGATTTTATTTATTTTTTAGAGAGGGGAAGGGAGGGAGAGAAACACCAATGTGTGGTTGCCTCTTATACATCCCCTACTGGGGACCTGGCCTGCAACCCAGGCATGTGCCCTGACTGGGAATTGAACCAGTGACACTTTGGTTTGCAGGCTTGGGCTCAAACTACTGAGCCACACCAGCCAGGGCCTATAAATCATTGTTAAATCAAAGAATAGAAATTTAGAATGAACAGTTGTGGTTCCTGTTTCTTATTTGGTATTATTACTGAACACTGATGTATGTGAGCCCATGGGCTAGTTTTTAATATTTATAAGAAACCAACCTCTAAGAATTGTCAATAGTTTAACTCTTTGCCTGGGATACAGTTCATGGTAGGGGTAGTACAACTGAAACATTAGTTTTTCTACCTAACTCCTATAATAAATATGGTTTATCTAAAGATTCTTTAAAAATTACAGTAGTCCCAAATCTTCACATGTTTGCTAGGGATTGTTTTTTCTTGACAGTAACAACTCGATACAGTGCTGTTGCATCCTGGAAAATCAGAACTAATAATAAAATAGTTGAGATAAAGTGGCTCATATGAAGCACTACTTGGAATTACTTTACTAACTAGTCTTTAATGTGGGAATAATACTGTTCATTGATTTGATTATATTTCAAATGAGGAATAGAAGTGGTCCTTAAGGAAATATTTTTTGTTGTTTGGGGGGGTTGGGGAATTTTGTGGGGGTTATACTCTGATTCCTAAAATACAGTGTTTGAAATCCAAGGATAATAGTTCTTACTGCTAAGAGGCGTAGTAGTTAATTACTAATGAATTTCATAGGCTTGCTTTTTTCATGTAGTGTTAATTCCACTTCCAGTTAGGGTATAAACATCTATTACTAACTTGGTTAAATGATCAAACCAAGTGTAAAAGTCTTGCCAAGATTTATTTGACTGTTGAATCTTTTTTGAACATCCAGCCTCTTAAAGAGACCGCCTCTTACTATGCATGATGAAAATTCTTATATTAAGTAATGGCCATTGGTTAACTCACTGTATCTGTGGTATAGTGGCTATAAATATAGTTGCTTACAAAACTCTGTGACTTGTGGTTTAACTTTCACCTATGATGTGTAAATATTAAATTATAGGATGCTATCAGTATTGACTAAAGAGCAAACCCAAGTAATCAATTAGGTAAAAGCATGTTTCAAATAAAATACCTAACTGGATTTATACTTTATTTGTATTATGTACAGATTTAACAACATCAGTATTAACTGTGGCTTGACTGTTAAAGTATCAGAATGAAAGTAAGGTTCTTTATTACCTGGCTGTCATAAAGATAAAAGAACTGTATTGGTATGTGATGTTTAGATCTTTATCCTGCTTCACAAGGGAAAGTTTCATTTATGTTGTTTGGACTCCTATGAACTTTCACACACCAGTTTGTGTTTTTGATTTACCTTAAACTACCATCGTTTTTATCCTTTTTTTTTTCTTTCTTTCTAATCAGGAAAGTACACAATCTGAATTGTCTTAATACAAGTATAAGAAGACACTAGCCTCTCAGGTATAGAGAACCAAGGAATTTGGAGAGTGTATTGGACTGTGTCCACTCTTCCCCCCCCCCCCCCCAGCTGCCAGGTACTGAGGAGGCAATGGGGCAGAGAGTGAAGAGCATAGGTCCTGGGGTCAGGTGGCCTGTGTCCCAAAACCCATTCTTTACCTGCAGGTGACCACTGGTATTTCCAGCTTGTCTGAGCTTTAGGCTTCTCGCCTGTAAATGGGAATGGTGAGAAGAGTGCCTGTAGAATCACAGAATTGTTGGGGGTTAACAAGTATTTGTTCGTACATGTAATGCACTTAGAGCACTGGCCGCCGCTTTTCACTCAATATCCAGGATTGTGTAAGATAGAATATGCACGTTTTTTTATATTCTCTCATTTCTTTTATGTGTAGCCTTTGGTTTCTATGATAAAAGAAAAACATACAATATATATTTGTATATTCATGTTCACACTATTTAAAATAATTGCTACCATACTTGTTTCATTCAGTGTAAGACTAACAGATGGAAGCCTTTAAATTGTTTGAGGTGTTTTGCAAAATACCAACTGCTCTATATTTCTTTAACGAAAGTTGATAATTATTAATAGTGATAGCTCTGGTCATATTTCATTCTTCAGTCCTTAATGAGTCCTTTTACATCCTTTTATTTTAGATTCATGAAAGCTAATTAGTACTGACTGATTTGGAGGTTTCCGTTTTCATCATGTGGAATTATGTAAAAACATGCAAAATAATTGCAAAGTAGAAAATAAAATATAAAATCACTTGGAACACTGTATGCAACTGATTCTTTTCGAGCTTTGTGACATTTCACTACTTAAAACTTTTATTCATGATTCTTCCCTGAAGATTTTATTACTTATTTTTGAAGATTTTCTTTATTTCAAGAGAGGGAGAGAAACATCAAAGCTCAAGAAATACATCAACTCGTCCCTTGCACAGCTCCAACCCGGTACCTGGCCTGCAACCCAGGCATGTGCCCTGACCGGGAATCAAACCAGTGACCTTTGGACTCAGGCCAGCACTCAATGGGCCACAGCAGCCAGGGCTGAAAATTTTGTTTTTAAAAAATTACCTGTGATGTACGAGAGAAATATTTACTTACCTGTTTTTATTTTTGTGTTTTTGGTTATTTGGATGAATCCAGTGAGACTTCAAATACAGAGTTGTGTTTTCTGGGTGAGTAATTTGTTACATACCTGTGTGTGGTGAAGGTGACATTTTTCTGAAGTTAAATCAATTGTCCAGAGTGTTTTCAAATTGCCAAGGTCACATTCAGTGGACCTGATATTATGCAGTATATGGGGATGTGATAGAAGATAAAAGTAGTTTGTTTCACAATCATTGGGGGAGAAATAATAGATGGAGCTGGGAAAACCACTTTACAGAGAAAAGTAAATATGGGTCTTGTTCACATCATATATACAGGAAATAGATTGCTTTAGACTTAAGGTAAATTTTTAATGGAGGAAAGTACTCTTGGTGCTGGGGAAGTGAATGCTAAACAAGACCTCTTTGATCTGTAGATTTCCTTCTATTGTACAACTGCCTGGTACTGCAGTTTGAGTTTACCCCTTGACTCGCAACTTCACTGGAGTTTAAGAGCTACAATAAACATCCCACAATTTGACCTTTTGTATCTGCATTTTGAAAAGCTCTCCCAAAGCATATACTATGAGGAAAAATTGATTTTATTTTGTGACTATGAGAAAGATTGGATCAAACAAGAACTAGTAATAGATGCTGAATCTAGGGGGAGGTTTTGACAATGACTAGGGTATTTGCATGGCCTTAAAGTGCCTCCCTACAAATTGCTTATAAATTGAAAGAAAAATAATACCTCTAACATGGAGAAAGCCACTTAGATAAAATTGTAACTGTTCTACTTACTGAAGTTGATAATGTGGTTGTACAAGAGAATATCCTTATTAGGAAACATTGAAATATGTAGGGGTGAAGGACCACGCATATACTCGTGCGACTTTCAAAACATTTGATAAAATAGAAGTACAAATGATAAAATAAATGGGGTAAAATGGTAATGATAGGTGAATCGGAGTAAAGGGTATATGAGCGTTTTTGTAAACTTACTGAAACATTTATGTAAATTTGAGGTTGCTTCTATATAAGAAGCTTGTAAATAGGTTACTTCTAGCATAATAATTAAGGTTTACTAATCTTAGAAAAAGTTGACTAGTGTTAAAATATTTGCAACTTTTTTAAATACAAGGAATTATCTAGAATACTGGAAACTCCTGGAAATCAAGAGAAAAAGACAGAAACCCCAATAGATGGATAAGTATTTCATACGCAATTTTCAGAAGAGTAAACCACTATGAATGGCTTATCTCTCCAATAGATTTGTATACAGCTGCAAGGAAAAACAATCATAACTTGTGCAATATCATTGATGTGAATTAAAACCATGCATATCTTCACAATATATGTTATAAAAATACATTAAACAGGAGGTGTCTTACTAGAAAGGATGGAGTGGAATAGAAAGTAAAAAGAAAAAATAAAACTAGAGAAGGATTCTACTCTGGCATGACAGAAAGACATGAGCTCAAAATTGGATGAATGACAAACTCGCACCCAAGGTCTGTAAGAAAAAGGGAGGAGGGAAGACCGCCCTGGTTGGTGTGGCTCAGTGGATTGAGTGCCGACCTGTAAACTAAAGGGTGGCTAAGTGCGATTCTCAGTCAGGGCACATTCCAGGGGTTGCGGGCCAGGTCCGCAGTAGGGGGCACGTAAGAGGCAACTACATGTTGATGTTTTTATCCTCCTCCACCCCTGTTTCTAGAAATAAAATCAAAGAAAAAGGAGGGGAGTGGAAAACAGCTCTCGTGACCTAATTAACTTAAAAACAGCTTGCTTTCTAGCCAAGGGACCAGGACTCACATGCCTGCTTTCCTGCTCAATTGTGTCTAAAACTTCCCTTCTGGCTTTCTTACCAGAGTCGCATCCTACTCCCTCCACACTTTGGGGGGTGTCATGAACACATTCA